TTAGGGGTCAAATGTTTTCCAGGCAGACATGAGCCCACAACCCTATGGTAAATAAATAGAATGGAACCACCATGTTCAAAGGCATTATAGCCCCCAAAGGTCAGGTGCTGGGGCCAAACAGGAGGGGAGAGTTGCTGCTTACAAGCTTCTAGGAGTCACGCAGCAAGTGGGAACATGATGCTGCACTAGATAGAATAAGGCACATGGCTGTCCCAACAAATGCCAAGGAACATCCAGGTCAAAACAGCATAGCAGGCCATGGGAAAGGGCAAGAGCATACAATAAGCAAATTCTCAAACACTCTCATACAGCTGAAAACAATGAAGATTCTGCAAACCAGCAGACATGCTTAACAGCACACAAGTTTTCATATATTTGGTTCTGGCAAACTGGAACCATATACTCAAAGGCAGGCAGATTCAAATGGAAAGTTTCTGACAAAGAAATGGCTCTTATGACGGCCAACAGGGCCATAAATGCAGGGAACCCCCCCCCCCCCCAATAACATAGGCATGGCCAAACTTGGCCCTCCAGCTGTTTTGGGACTACAACTCCCATCATCCCTAGCTAACAGGACCAGTGGTCAGAGATGATGGGAACTGTAGTCCCAAAACAGCTGGAGGGCCAAGTTTGGCCATGCCTGCTATAACACATTGCAAAGTCAGACAGGAAAGAAAAGCCAGGCAGAGGCCTGGGGCACCACCTCATGGTGGTAGTGAGGAATTACAAGAGGCTGATCCCAGCAAGCAGGGAAATTAGAACACAAGCAAAGATGTGCAGAACTACTGGAAGAGAATAAACCTCTAGAATGGTTTTAAACCTCTAGTCACAATCTACCATTCCCCTGACTGCCAGAACAGTCATTCAATGTCATGTATTTATTACATTTCTAGACTGCCCTTCAAGCAAGGCATTGCAAAACAAAACAAAGAAGCAACATAAGAATAATTAAAATGGCTAAAACAAATACATAAACATCTCCTCAAATGCTTGTGTGAAGAGATGTGTCTTCAGTAAACACCAAAGGAAACACCCCCTAGCTTACAAAGGGTGGAAGTTCCGTAGCTGGGTGGGCCATGAAAGAGGAAGCCCTGTCATTGTGCAACAAGCCATGCCAATGGGCTAAACAGGGCTCCTTCCCCTGCCAATTACAGTCATACCTCAGGCTGAAGTAGCTTCGGGATAAGTATTTTCGGGTTGCGCGCTGCAGCGACCCGGAAGTAACGGAGCACGTTACTTCCAGGTTTCGCTGTTCGTGCATGTGCAGACGGTCAAAATGACGTCACACGCATGCGCAGAAGCGGCAAATTGGAACCCGTGCACGCGCAGACGCAGGTTGCATTCACTTCTGGATGCGTGCGAGGCTCCAGAACGGATCCTGTTCGCATCCATAGGTACCACTGTATAAAGACATGGCTAGAAAAAAGACAGGAAATTGGATCTTCCTCCTTCAAGCAACCCCTTTTAGGGATTTGTAGGATCATTCCATTCAAGCATCTTGAATTGGCCTGGTAGCAAATAGGCAGAATTGCTATTAGAAGAGCCCTGCTTAATATTTCGAGCTGAAGCTTTGAGACACATCATCTAGACAAGCAGCTCCCTGATCCCCTGACTTGAATCTCCCAACTTTTTGTTCTGTTTCCATGGATGTTTATACAGTGGTACCTCTGGTTACATACTTAATTCATTCCGGAAGTCCGTTCTTAACCTGAAGCACCACTTTAGCTAATGGGGCCTCCCGCTGCCGCCGCACGATTTCTGTTCTCATCCTGAAGCAAAGTTCTTAACCTGAGGTACTATTTCTGGGTTAGCGGCGTCTGTAACCTGAAGCATATGTAACCTGAAGCGTATGTAACCTGAGGTACCACTGTATATGTGTATGTTTATATATACAGGGAACTGTATTTTATAACTGGTTTTATAACCAAATTCTTGCTGTTTTGTCATTGGCTTTTATCAGTTTGTAAACCGCCTCAGTATTTCTTCTGGAAAGGAAAGGAGATATATAAATTATTTTAATTACTTAGTAATACCTAGACTAATGAGTAAAAACATATGTAATAACTAGCAGTGTCAGTTCATCCTGTAAAGCCAAGGAGACGTCAATACCAACGCCCAAATGAGACGAAACTCATCCTCCTTTGGACACTAACAGATTGTGTCACCTGGGGCCCAATACTTAATGACCCACTTCCAGGACAGGGGGACTTATCCAGAGGAGTGGCAAGAGGACTTTTTACACACACACCCCAGCACCTTGAACAGCCTCTTCCACTGAGAGCTCAAAGAGCCAGGAGAGACAGGCACTACCAAGCTATGAAGGACTCAAGGAAGAGCACAGGGGATGCTGCAGCTGCCCAATTTTACTACTCAAACTGCTTAGAGATTTTTTGCTGGAAAAGCAGCAAGTAAGTATTATTAATAAATGAGGTTGGGGTTTTTTAATCAACTGGTGTGAATTGAGTCTATTCAAAGTATGACAATTACTAGGTGTCATTTGCAGGACTGATTCCTTCCTTCCTCTTAAAAAGCATTCATTTTTTAATAATAATAAAAAAACGAGTAACAGAAGTAGCTTGTTCATTCAGCAGCCCAGGGCTCTTTTACATCTCCACCTCTTGCAATCCTCCACAGTGTGTCAGCCGATTACCCTCGCAAAAGAGAAAATGAAGGAACTCCTGTCAATATTATTCTCCATGTGCCAGGCATGTGACCATATGGATGTTTACTCAGAAATAAGCCCTCCCAAGTTCAATGAGACTTACTCTCAGGTAAGTGTGTCTAGTTCTGCAGCCTACATTTGTTGAGTCCTTTATGTGTGGGATGAGCTTAGAGATCTACACTGGTCACCAATTTGCTACTGAGCCAAGTTCAAGGGGTTACTCTTAGTATACCAGCAGCAACCATTTTAGGAATGTTCGATAGGTATGCAACTGTGCTGAAGCCAGAAACGATACCAAAACAGGTAGGAACGGAACAGGGGCAGGATGGGTGTTTGCAGGCTTTTTCAATGCTGTTGGAAATATATATGATTTCACTTAAACGTATGGTGCCTTGGAACGTAACCCCCACATAAATTGGGAGCTGCCTTAGCACCTTGTAACTAGTTTACCTACCAGATCTCCTTACTCATATATGCCCAATTGACAATATGTCAATTGTGGAATTGACACTATTACAGGTGCCACATAATATCCATTCCACATTTGTAAAAAATCTTTTTTTTTAGTGTGGCAGCACCTAAAATTTGGAGCTTGCTGCCTACTGATATCAAGAAGGAGTATTTGCTGTACTCTTTTCTGTACCTGCTAAAAACATTTTAGACCAGCTTATCCAGACATAGATGCTGATGTGTTTTAACCTCTTCTATTGTTAATTTTGATTTTGTAAATTGTTTTTATTGATAATTTTAGTATTTCTGGCAAATCACTTTGAATTTTAGCCACAATTGAGCAGTAAATAAAATCTGGTAAAATAAAAGAATATTAATGAAGAAAACAGTTTCATCCTGCAAAACATTCTCTGAACTCAACTGAAAAAGCTGCCAAGACAATCTGGAAAACGCAGCACAAAATTTAACATATGATAAAAGGATGTTCAACTCAGGTGAAGAAATGTTGAATTTTGCTACTTATTTTCCCAGCTTACATTACTATCACTTCAAAAACTTCAGTCCTAAAGCAGACTTACTTGGAAAGAAATTGGGTTCATAATTCATTAGGAATTATGAACCCAATGGAGCTAACATTTAAGTGAATGAGCCAAAGCCTTTGGCCTTAGAAATGTGACACGGCTTCCTATGACTCCCTTCCCATAAAGGAATTTGGGATTTTGCTCAGAGCCCCAAGAAGACTTGCTCCAACTCTTATAGTCTGAAACACACTTTGGAGTTAGTTCCCACTTGCAGGGCTCTTGACATCTGCTTTTGACAGCTGCCCTGCAATCTGGGAATTCCCTTCATTTAAAAATTTGACAAAGCTTGTTCTTGATTATCTTGCAAAAACACTCACTGATGACAAATTCCAGAGAGACAGACATGTTACATTACAAACACAAGAGTGCCTGCTGATATCATAAAGACCCCCCAAAAAAGTATTTCTATAGTGTGCTATCCAAAGATGTGCAGCCCAAAAATCTTTAGTGGGGGAAAAGGGGGGGGATGCAGAATCTTAATGCAAATACAGTTACTATTCACAAGAGCAGAAGCTGGGGACTGTGCTTGATGCTACCTTTGAACTTATGAGGCTCTAATTCTACAGAAACTTTCTGCTGCAATAAACATGTCAGCCTTTAAAGTGTCACAAGTTGTGTGTGTTTTCAGGGGAAGCATGACTCTGTTGGTTCCCACAGTTTTCTCAGTGGCTTTTGAGAGCAATGACCATGTGAGGATATATATAAGTTGGGAGTTGGCAGCACTGTTTTCCTGTCATCCCACTTGGACCTAGGCAGTCATTTCATAGCATCTGTGCTTTGGGGTTCTTACCCCACATTGCTTAATTAGGTGACATGACCTGCAGCAGCATCAGTATTAAGATGGGTGTTACAAACCATCACCAATACCCCAGCACCTCCACCTGCTTCCAGGTCCCACTCAAAGTGTGTGTGTTTACCTTTAAAGCCCTTCATGGCAGGAACCTCGGCAAGGATAGAACTGGTTTTTTAATCTGGTGAAATCAGAGAACTTCATCATACAACACCACCACAAGGAAATCAAGCAAAACAATTTGCAGCTGAAGCAAGTCACCTCCAACGCGCCCCCACCCCCGCTCGCCCCCGCTTCTGCTCCAGGCCCGGCCAGTCTCCTGACTGAAGAAGCGGCCGCCCTGAGGCTGAAGCGCGACCAGGCCAACCGAAACCTGCCAGGAATGGCGGCGGGGCAAAGAGCAGGTAGCGGCCCGTGGTGTGGGCGGCTAGCTAAGAAGGGCCCGGAGCGGATCCCCCAAGCTAGGCGCCTCGCCCTCTGCACATGCTCAAGAACACCTCCCCCCTCCCCAGCTGACCTTCGAGGCTCTCGCACTGGACGAGGTTGACATAGTCGGCCTGGCTGAGGACGCCGGCCTTGAAGCCTCGCACCAGGCCTTCCAGGTAGCCGCTGTCTACGTTGAAGTACAGCTCCGGGAAGCACGAGAGCAACATCGCGGCGGCGGCGGCGGACAAGGGAACCAGCCGGGCTCGGAGGAGGCTGAGGGGCCGCCGGAAGTGGGAGCAAAAGTCTCGTCTCTCACGTGATCCTGACGAAACCTCCGCTGCTTCCACGACTCCTAGAAAGGCCCGCCGGGGTGGTTTCCTGTTTCCTGTCAGACTCTTTTAAGCGCCCCCTCCCGGGTTGGAAATGAGGGTTGCCCATAGAAACCAACGGTTGCCATTGGGCAACAGAAGACCTCGGCAGCTGCCGGGGCGATTTCGGTGCTTCCAGGCCTTCATTTGTGTATCCAGGGCGTTAGTCAGCTATGGTCCTCCTCAGAGTAGACCCGCTGAAGTTAATGGACACGACTCTCTTGGGTCCGTTACTTTCAGGAGGACTTAGTGGGGACCCTTGCGGAGTACGCAAGCGCGGCTGCGGCGGGCGGCCAATGGCCGACCCCGCACTTCCAACGACTTCGGCGCGAGGACAGCCTCGCGGGGCCGTTTCTAGAGAGCAGGACGGAGTGGCGGAGAAGGGCCCGCCGAGGCAGGGATGGCTCCTCTAGAAAGACGCACGTCTATGGCTTGATGCCTATGTCTTGTTGCAGAGTTTCTTCATCCAATGAGTGCCCTTCCTAAACCCATCAGGAGGGAGATCTCCCCACACACCTCAAACCTCTTTGTCTCTCAGCCATCTTCGCAAGGGTTGGCACTGGCCCAACCAAAAGGCAATGGCACAGCTAAGGGAGCTGGCCAGACTGCTGGCTCCTGGCTCACTATTTGATGAACACTGCTCTAAACTTTGCTCCTTCCTGAGACGGTTTTTATCCATTGATATAGGACTAGTTCCTCCCTCCCTCCCTCCCCACTTCCTTCCTTTCATTGAAAGTGTCCGCTGGTAGACCCAGCTGCTGAGTTTCACCTACTGCTGAAAGTGCCCTGTTCATGTTCTGAGGCTACTTCAGAAGTATAACCATGCCACAAAATTCTATCCCACCATGGAGTGGGCTCCATGCCCTGGAAACCTTACCACCCAGGCATAATATATGTATACATTATTATTAGCAGTAGTAGTATTTATTAATATAACACTTCATGACAAAAATAGGTTTCTAAGTGCTACTGTACAGTAACCTACTCAGAGACCCTGAGATGGGGAACCCAGGTCTGTACAGCACAATAATCCATCCCTTTCCCAATCTCAAGTACCCAGATATGCCAAGAATGGCTGGCTAAAGCTTTGGGTTTTAGGAGAATGCTGGAGAACTGTCACCTGCTGAGGCAATCAAGGCTTTTGGTTGTCTGTTTTTCTTTTGTAAGGAAAGAGAAGCTCGTGTTTTTGTCGCTCCTTTTTATTAAAATGGGTAAAAAGAACAGGACCCCATTTTAACATAAGACAAGGGAGTGGCACCCTGATGAAGGCTAGTTCTTGCCACAGGGGAAAGTGTTGCTAAATTTCTTGCAAAAGCAATTGGCATTGAAGAAGCGGCAGTAGCAGGTGGCACATGGATCACAGCAGGGGAGCTTGTGCCCAAGGCAAGATTCCTGCAAGCGGACACACCTTCGAGGGGAACGCTCTTCCCTTCCCTGGGTCTGCAGGGCCGTCAGCAACATCTGCAAAGAGAGCAACGGGAAGGAATGAAGAAGTCAGACGTGCTTGGCAAGCAGCACTTCTGCTGCTCTGAAGATACACATTTGAAAAGAAAAACACACACATCCAGCTATTTATGGCTTGGGTCTAGGCTGCATAGAAAGCAACCTGGCAGCATCCCGTTGGCCACAGTATATTAATCCAAACCTTGCTTTCCCATATATTGGTCAACAGCCTACCTGACGAAGACTGATTGCTCTTCCTCCAGGGTTTGACTTAGAATACATGTATGACTATAAAACAAGTTATGACAACCTCGGCCTGCTCCTACTTGGAAGGAGCTTCTGGATCCATACATTTCAGGAGGATGGGGAAATGCCACCTCATTGGCTTGGTCCACCTGGAGTTGTTTGTTCTACTGGTATCATTATGGGATGTTTTCTGATCATGACATTGATCTAGCACAAATTGGGAAGGTTGACCAGTGTAAGGAAGAGGGGTGGATTATCCAGCGCTGCAGGATGCAATTGTACCAAATGTTCCTTTTGGAGGAAGGGCAGAGGATACTAAATAAATAAACTCTTCGTCCTATGGCGTTGGTGGAGGACCCATAGCTCCATCACGCACACCTTGCACAGGTAAGGTCCCAGATTCAATCATTTGGGATCTGGGATGCTTCTCCTTTGCAGAATGACTGCTAATGTGACTGCATGATCCTGGGCAAGATGGAGCAATGCCTGACTCAGTGTAGGGACGCTTCCGATATGCAAGCACAGTCAGGGAGCTTGTGGGAGGGTTTCAGTTACCTGCTGTGGCTCCATTGCGTTTGCTTCTAGCACAAGGTCATCTTGGGCAATTGGCATCTCCAGAGCAGCCAGGTGTTCAAAATCTGTGAAAGAAAAACAAAGGTGTGGAAGCTCCTTCACTGCCTTCCCGAAGCTGCTGTTCACAACTTCTGATCTATTCTCCCCAGAGGTGTCTAATTGGAGCCCATGTAAAGAAGGTTAAATACCTGGGGGTGAATATGACTGCTAAGAATGTGAATCTATTTAAAGATAATTATGAGAAATGTTGGTCAGAAGTCAAGAAAGACCTAGAAATCTGGTCGAATTTGAAGCTTTCCTTGCTTGGTCGAATTGCTGTTATAAAGATGAATGTATTGCCGAGAATGCTGTTTTTGTTTCAATCACTGCAAATTATTGACAAGATGGACTGTTTCAAGAAGTGGCAAAGAGACATCTCTAGATTTGTCTGGCAGGGCAAAAAGCCCAGAATAAAATTTAAGATACTTACTGATGCTAAAGATAGAGGGGGGTTTGCCCTGCCGGACCTTAAACTCTACTATGAATCAGCAGCTTTTTGCTGGCTGAAGGAATGGCTGCTTCTTGAGAACACTGACATTTTAGATCTTGAAGGTTACGATAATGTATTTGGGTGGCATGCATATCTGTCGTATGGCAAGGTTAAAGCGCATAAGGCATTTAAAAACCATATTGTAAGGAAAGCACTTTTTAATGTTTGGATAAGATATAAAGATTTTTTGGAGAATAAAACTCCAAGGTGGTTATCACCTATGGAAGCGAAAGCCTTGAAAAAACTTAACATGGAGGCCAAATGGCCAAAGTATTGTGAAATTTTGGAACAGGATGGTGACAAGCTGAAATTGCAGAGTTATGAGAAGCTTAAAGGGAAGGTGCGAGACTGGTTACATTATTTTCAAATAAGAGAGGTTTATAATCAAGATAAAAAAAATGGTTTCCAGGTGGAAAAATCAAAATTGGAAACAGAACTGTTAGAACCCAATGCTAAGATACTATCAAGAATGTACAATTTGCTACTGAAATGGAGTACGGAGGAAGAAACGGTAAAATCTGCTATGATTAAATGGGCACAAGATATAGGATATAATATTATGTTTGCTGACTGGGAGCAGTTGTGGACCACTGGGATTAAATTTACGGCATGTAATGCTCTTAGAGAGAATATTATGAAAATGATGTACAGGTGGTACATGACCCCAGTCAAGCTTGCAAAAATTTATCATTTGCCTGACAACAAATGTTGGAAATGTAAAGAAACTGAAGGTACATTCTTTCACCTTTGGTGGACGTGCCAGAGGATTAAGGCTTTCTGGGAGATGATTTATAATGAATTGAAAAAGGTATTTAAATACAACTTTGTGAAGAAACCAGAGGCCTTTCTCCTGGGCATAGTTGGCCAATTGGTGTCAAAGAAGGATAGAACTTTCTTTATGTATGCTACAGCAGCAGCAAGAATACTCATCGCAAAGCATTGGAAGACACAAGATCTACCCACCTTGGAAGAATGGCAGACACAATTAATTGACTACATGGAAATGGCAGAGATGACTGGCAGAATCCGAGACCAGGGAGAAGAGTCGGTGGAAGAAGATTGGAAGAAGTTTAAAATTTATCTACAGAAATATTGTAAAATGTATGAATGCTGATGACATTGAAATGAAATGAAGGGGTTTTAGTAACAAGATATAAAAATTAGAAACTATAAATTTGGAACTTAATGTAAGTAAGGATAAAGAAATAGGATATGAATTTGCTGAACCAACTGTTAAAAAGGGATGCAAAAAAGGGAGACGTGAGGAAGTCGGGAAAATAAGTTATCAAAGATAAGAAATTAGAAAAGAGAGATCTGTGTTTTACCTCTTTGTGTGAGTATTGACTTTCTTCTTTTTTTTTATTTTTTCCCTTGGTAGGTTAAATGTCTGTATTTTTGTATTGTGAAATTTTGTATGTTTTATATTCCATTTGTGTTTATATTGTTTTTGTGGTTGTCTTTTCCCTATTGTTAAACTTAATAAAATATTATTTAAAAAAAAAAGAAAAAAACTAATTGGAGCCCATGTAAATGTCTTTTCAGCCGTGACCAAAAATCCAAGCCTTTTAAATAATAATTTAGCTAATAAGATTGTTTTGCCTTTGGTGATTTGTTAAATTTTGTGTTCTTTGAGTGCTATTCAACTAAATTTTCCTCTGTAAAACTAGTGAACATGACTAAGTTAGGTCCATTGATTTCAGTACATCTACTTTGAGTAAAACTTAGCTGAGTACCACCACCCTTTGCCTCTTTTGCTCTTATCTGGCCTTGTCTTAATACTTCATTTAATGTCATTGTTATTGCTGTAGTGTATTGTTATTCCGTGAGCTGCCAGATAACTTTTTGTTAGAGGGTGATTTATAAAATAATTAACTACATGCATGAGATCAGTTGTGAATCTGGGTTTGCTTGATGGGCATCTGTGGCTCAGCACAGCCTCCTTCCCTATACTGTACTCTCCCGCTGCTGGCTTGGGAAGCTACCATTAGCTACAATCCACACTGTCCTGTAGTTTCCAGAGAAATACTGTGTTTCCCTCCGAAACAGCTTTGATCCATATGAAGACATCTGCACCCCTGTCTTCCCACCTGTGTGGACAGACAGCGGGCAACTTGTACTGTATAATGATGCACAGATGCTATATGAAATGCAAGGGATGGGGTTGAGGGTGGAATGACCTCACTGGGTTTGAAGCTGGTACGTAACATGAACACAGCGTTACTCACAAGCAGAGGGCTTGCAATACACGCTGCCTTAATCCATGCTTCTCCTCCAGGAACTCAAAAGTGTCAGGCCAAAGGAAACCACCCAGCGAAGGGGAAAGCACTATTGAGTTTTCCACACTCGGAAGACAAGAGGGCTCTTCTTGCCCAGGGCCCCTCAACTACATTAGAGCTGTGTTGCATGTACAAAGGCTGCAGAGACAGGCAGAGGGGAAAGGAGAGAAACTGACCTGGGGGTCCCTCTTTGATCACCTGCAGAAGCCCTGGGTAGCTGGAGCGGCCTTCTTCGTCCAGCATGGAGGGGCCCCGCTCGGCCAGACGGCGGCTGTGGTTGGGGTTAGAGGCCAGGGTGGTGGGGATTTCTTGCAGGAGTCCCAAGGACAGCAGCAGGATCCTCAACATGGTCTCCCTGGAGAACCAAGCAAGAAACAAGTGGTGGGGGGGAGGGAGAGGGCTGAGATGCTGGGCTGAGAGGTGGCCTAAATTGGGAATAACACAGGTGACCACAAAGACCACCAACCTTTCTGGGGGGCGTTCCATATCACACAAACAACACCATGCACACTGTATCCCCTCCCCCCCCGCTCCCCAGCTTGTAGAGCTGGGCTCCCTCACAGGCTTTTCTGAGAGAGCCAAAGAGAGACCTTGCAAGGAGTTTTTCTCTCCAGCCTGAGAGCACCCAGGACAGTCATCTCGAGGCTTGAAGCCCCCGCTGCATTCCGCTTCTCTTCCCTCAAAGCAATCAAGCCAGCTGCCTGCCCATCATCTTCTCCTCTTCCTTCTTTGCTCAGAGCAATCTCCCCAATTAACCCTCATAACGATCCTGTGAAGTAGGTTAGGCTGAGAGGGCGGACAGCTTGGCAAGTTCCGTGGCTAAGTGGGGATGTAAGAGAGGCTATGTTTTCCTCTATCAAGGGCAGCATTCAGGCACCCGCAAACCTTTGGAGCAACTCAGTACTGAGATGTCTTCTTGAAATGGGTACACAGCGGACAAAGCCCTGTGGAAATACCCAAGCCCCCTGCAGACCCCAAAAGAGAAGGTGTGCAGCAGCTGCCCCTCTTCCATGGTTCCCTCCCACTGCCCCCACCAAAGGGCTGCTCTGCTTAATGGGAGATGAACATACCACTTTCTTTGTGCAAAGCAACAAGTGCCACACACACACACACACACACACACACACACACACACTGGGCCCTATCCTGTGGAATGTGCTGCTGAGCACATTTCACACTCAGTGAGTGGGAGAGGCAGAAAGTTACTGTACCTGACTCTTGCCGTCCGTCCGTCCGTTATCCTGATCGAGTGCTGTGGCTCTGCGGAGCTGCAAGTTGGCTAAGGGCTTTTATTAATCACACACGTAATTAATTGACTGGACCACATGACTGCAAACTAATGGGTGGGTGGGCTTCTGTGGAAGCATCACTTTGTGCATCTTCCTGCACAACTGAATTTTGCTCCTTCATAAGCAGATAAGCTGGATCAGGCCAAGCTGCTTGTGCGGTCTGCAGCAACTGAAAGCATTACTGCCTTTGCCCGTGGAGGCAGGCAAAATCATCATGGCTAGTAACCATTGATAGCCTTATCTTCCTACATGAATTTGTCGACTTCTCTTCTAAAGCCATCCAAGTTGGTGGGCATCATTACCTCCTGTGGGAGTGAGTTCCATGGGTGAACTGCTTTCTTTTATCTATTCTTAATCTTCCAACATTCAGCTTCATTGGATGGTTATGAGTTCTGCTGTTGTTGTTGTTGTTGTTGATGATTTCTCTAGCTACTTTATCCATGCCAGGCATAATTTTACACATTTCTGTCATGTCTACTTTTACTTGCCATTTCTCTAAACCCAAAAGTCTCAAATGCTACATTTGTTCATAAGACTGTCGCTCCATCCCGTTGAACATTTTGGCTGCCTTTTCTGAACCTGTTCCAGCTCTACAATATCCTTTTTGAGGTGAGGTGACCAGTACTGTACACAGTATTTCAAACATATATTACACCCTTGATTATGATATTAGCAGTTTTATTTGCAATTCCTTTCCTAATGATCCCTAGCATGGAATTAGTCTTTTCCCACAGCTGCTGCACACTGGCTCAGCATATTTATCAAGATATCTAATATGATCCCAACGTCTTGTTCTGGCCAGTCACTGCCAGTTCAGATCCCATGAGAGTTCATATGACCTTATTATGATCCCAACATGCATGGTTTTAAGTTATTTACATTTAATTGCATTTGTCATTTTACCGCCTATTCACTCCGTTTGGAGAGGTCTTTTTGGAACTCTTCACAATCTCTTTTTCTTTTAACGACACTGAACAATTTAGTATCATCAGCAAACTTGGCCACCTCACTGCTAACCCCTAATTCTAGATCGTTTATAAACAAGTGAAAAAACACAGGTCGCAATATCAATCTTTGGAGGACTCCATTTCCCACATCTCTTCATTCAGAGTACTGTTCTTTTATTTCTACTCTCTGCATCGTGGCACTTAACCAATTCCTGATCCACAAGAGGAACTTTCCCCTTCCTTAGGGAGCCAGCACCGTTCCCCTCTGAGTGGCACATACAACCAAGTTGATCTTTTAGAGCCCAGACCAGCTTTGTGTATCTGATTGGGGTGCCCATATTAAATATTTAAAATATTGGGGGCCATCCATGAGGGAGCAGAGGTCACCTCCTCACAAGGTCTGTACAGCAGGTATCTTAAACCTCTTCAGACCCAAGACCCACTTTTAACCCAAACATACATTTAGGGAGCAATTATTTTACCATATGTCTGCTCCTGTTGCAACCCACCTTGGATCAGGTCACAACCCACTTGTGGGTCCTGACCTACCAACTGAAGACCAGCGCTGCAGAGCTTTAAGGAAATAAGATTATACAAATAAAGCAAGTCTGAAGCACAATGTGGACAGGGGGAAAGGAGGGAAATTTAGGCTTTCGCACAGCCCCAAACTCTATTTTTGGTTACCGCAGGTTGCAAAAATAGCATTGCTTCTTTGCTTAAAACTTTGGAAACTACCACTATACCTGATCATCCCTTCTTCATATTCCAGGAAACTGCCAAAGGCTTGAAAAAAACCTCTCCTCACCCCCCAGCCCCCAGCCCAGCAACAACTATAGCCCCGCTTTGTGCCCCCCCATGCCCAATGTCCCCCGAGGACCCCCCTGTTTTCTAAAGCTCATTAATGATTGTTTGTGCAGAAAGGAGAATTAAAACTGCACTTCCAATTAACTGTAAGCAGAGATGTTGTACTGAAAGCAGAGATGTTGTGTGTACTTTTGTAACCCAATAAAATCTTTAATAAAAACATTTAAAAAAAGAAATAACAGTAACTAACTGACCAATTACATTACAGATAACTCAGTTCTGCCCCTCCCTCAGCATAAAGAGTGCCCCCTTAAAATAAATCATGGCTATGCCCATGTCCCATAATGACAAATAAAGGCAGGAACATAGGCACTGCTGCATAACACTTATAGCTCCTCTGTATTAATGATTGTTTGTCTGAGGGGAAGAAGAGGATTCTGGGAAGAGATTAATGCCCTAATGAAGGAGGCAGCCCCAAACTGCCTTGAAAGCTTTTCAATCTGCAGAAGAAATGCCTGGCTTATGTGTGTCCCCCAACATTCAATAAAGGGATAACAACACAACCATTTCCAGGAAGCGAGGGGCCCACAGTAGGAAGAACACACGGTCAACAGAGCCTGCTCTCCTCCCCGCCCCAATACAAGGGGCTGAAGGAGGTTCTCCTTCCAGATCAGTGTTCATAGGCAGAGGTGCTGTGGTGTCCAGGGAAACAGCCTGAGTTCCTCAGCATCCTCTGAATACAGCTGCAACCACTGAGGTTTATGCACAGCCCAGCAAACAACAGACTATTCTGCATTCAGGGCTTTTGTGTGAAGGTGAGAGGCAGCCTTACCGTAAGGGAGGCAGAGTTGCTCAGATAGGAGGCAGCTCTATCCAGCCCTGCGAACATCTCCTGCACACAAAAGTCAAACTGGCAATGAATGGGAGGCCAATAACATGCTTCATGAGGTGTGTGCCTGGGGAGGACCGACCTTTAGATTTTTATATCAGGAACCAAAATATCTCTGGGCCAGTTCTGTTTTCGAGCCACTGTTTTCAGCCAGTAACCAGCCAAAGGGCAAAGAGGATTCTGGGAAGTTATTAGCGTCACAGTGCAGGCAGCAGCTTCCTTTGCGGCCCCCACCCCAATTGCTTTGAAAGCTTTTTAATCTGCAGGGGAAACCTCAGGCGTATGTTTTGCCCATGATGTGAAGGGGCTAAATGAAATCTCCTCTGTTCTGTACAGCCAATTCCAGGAAAGGATGAGCCCCAAATAGCAACAAAAGTGCCTGACAAAGTGGTCAACAAAGCATGTTTTTCTGAAAACAGGAGAGAGGAAGGGGGAGTCAGGGGACAAACACAAACTCCCTCTTTCCATGGGGAGGGGGAAAGGTGCCAATCAAAGTTTTTCCGCAATGCAGAAGGAGGCACTTGTGCCTGCCCTTCCTGCCTCGGCCTTTGCTCCATTCATCCCAGTGGTTCTTTATGCCAAGGAGAGCCCTAGTTTGGGCTAGGGCCCCTCTGACCCATTTTGGGTCATGCTTCATGAAAATGATATTAGCACGAACTGCCAGACAGGGTGTCTTTCAGAGCCGGGATCCATGCCTGGAAGCTTAAATCTACAAGTGGGCAAAGGTCGCAGGTGGCTTCTCTTGCAACTGCCCTGAGGGTGCCTGTCCTGCAGGACTCAGTGGGCCTGGCAGAATGGCAGCCTGGGCACCTGGAACAGAAGAAACTATCACCACACCTGCAGAAATTCCACATCAACTCTGATCAGGGGGAAATTTATTTATGAGTGTGTTTGAGGCCTTCACCACACACACACACACCAAAAATCAATACCTATAATAAAATAGCAACTCAGCAAAACCAGCCTTATTTCTCCTGGCAGAGTGCTTGGAGTGCTGGAGATGGATGTGTTGGTTGTAATACCTCCCTAAGAGTCAGGCTTTACTCCTGGAGCAGCTCCATGAGACACACTCTGGCTTGAGGCAGCAGTTCCAAGTTACCTGTTGTGGCTCAGAGCAGATGGTGCTCTGCCTGGGCACCGAGAGAGCAATCTTCATGAATGAGGGTGCTGAATGTGTAGCAAGTGTGTGTAGGCAGGTATCCATTTGCCATGACCACCCGACATGATGTGGCTCTCTGAGGGGCAGCAGACCATTGTAGTCCCTCAGGCCCCCCAAAAGTTGCTTGCCCTTATTTAGAGGGAGAGAACCGGAAGGAAGGGCCCTTCAGTGGGGTGGGGAGCTGCTATGTACTAAGCTTGGATCCCAGAACAATAGGCAAGTAGGATCCTAGAATGCAACAACTGATTGGCTTGCAGGAAAAGACCAATCAGGCTCCAGGAGGGAAGCAGAATCAGACGGGACTCATTGTGTAAATAATGTATATAAAAGCCTTTTGGGGTTTGGGGAGCAATTCAATCACTGTTTTACAAGCTGCAATAAAGAGCATGAAATCACTACAGGACTCCGAGTATATTTCAGGAGCACTTGGCTTTTTCTGCCTTGGGAACATTGGGGCGAATGAAGCTACCTCAGTAGACTGACTCGCCCAGGAAATGACCCAGAAGGCAGGAAGTACAGGCAGAATGTATGAGAGAGAGAGAGAGATGACAAATAAAACCATATGCAGGATGAAGAAGAGGGGCTCAGCAGTTGATACAAGCTGCAGAAGATCCTCTCCACCCCCTTTTGTTGCTCTTACCCACCCCTGCCGGGAAGAAGTTTTGCCCAGGGTTCAGTCTAGAGCAGTAGCAGGAACCACATTTTGTTTAGTTCTCCTGCACAACTCATACAATTCTTTCTTACAGAACAATTGCAACTTTTAATGAACATTATTTTATCACTCTACTGGGCGGAAATGTGGCAAAGAACTGAGGACCAATATGCTGTCGCCTCTGTCATAAATCCTTCCCAGCCCTCTGACCTTGCAGTGCTAGTTGTGCTGCCAGCAATAAAGCACCAGGTGCAGGTATAGCTTGGATGCTGATGCAGATAAGTGTAGGGCACAGCTGGGAACCCAAGGGTCTAGGCAGGGCAGCACCCTGTTTCAGCCGTGGGCCACACCATCAGAACATGTGGTGGTGCCACAATAACCCGAGATCTGTAAAAGCCATTCTACTCATGTAAACCACACTGATTCCCAGACCATCCTACGGACTGTAGAAGCATCTAGCCCACGGACCTTAGGTTGCCTACCCTGCCTAGGGGAAGCCAGACCAGGGATTAGTGGCAGGTTGATGATTAGTGACCAGAGGGAGGAGCAGACGGGGAGCAGGAGGTGTCAGAAGCTGAAGAGGCAGGAGGAAGAAGCTGGGGCAGAGAGCAGTCCTGATTCAGAGGCTAGAGAGGAGGGCCAGGAGATGGAGATGAGGCAGGCTGCTGAAGAGTCCAGGGAATCTCCCCCTCCTGCTACCGGCTCCCCTCTCCCCGGGTATCCCAGAACACCCAGAGAAATGAAGAGGGCAGAGGAGAAATTGGTTGCGTGCAGACGCAGCCTCCAAATGCTTAGAAAATACCCTGGAGAGGAAGGGACTTAGGCAGCTGTGGGAAAGCGGGGACCTTCAGTCCTCACAACTGCCTCATTGGAGCAAGACCTACTGGGAAGAGTTGCTGGGATCACAAGGCCTGCACTGCTTTGGGTTCTTTGAATAAAGAGTTAACTTCACTGCCACCAATTTTTTTTAAATTGCTGACCCACATAGGCTGGCCTTTGAAGAAGACTGAGAGCTTTGAGAGAGGACAGGGGCCAGGGAAAGCTCAGATGTTGGGTTCAGGGCATGTGATAACCACAACCAGCACTTTGTCAGGCTCCTGCCCCCGTCTCCTGTGCTTGCTCCTGCATTTTGCACATATTTAGTACCTGAGATTTTTGAACTGCCTTGAAAGGCAGTCCCACCCCAAGAATATTGCAGCAGTCAATCAAGTGAAGTCACAAAACTGTGGGTGAGGGTGATGTTTCTTTGTTGAGTTGCATTTGCCCCAGAAAAGTTGAAAACCAATCACAACCATCAAAAATTACAAGTAATACAGCTGGAAAATGCTCCCATGGAATCCAAAACACATATTAAAAAGTCTAACAACTAACTACACACAAATTCATCTGATCTCTATGGAGAGCTAAAACGGTATCATAAAAGCTAAAACCACAAGACAGAGACATGATAAAAGCAGAAGCAAAACGCCACTATCAGCTTTGCACAAAGCTTACTGAAAATGTGAAAGAATTCCCTGGGTGGACAGAAAAGTCTTGCCAGGTGCCAAAAAAGCCACCAGCAGAAGCACCAAAAGCCTCCTTAGGGAAAACGTTCCATCACAGGGGTGGGGGCTAATGCTGAGAAGGGCCTCCTCCCTCCCTCCCAGCCCCTTCAGATTGAGGTGCACTTGGAGGAGGCACTGTTGAGGATCTTGGGGCTTGATGGGAAGCAATGGGTGTTTTTTTCCAACACCAAGGCCTGCAGCCAAGATACTTGTGAGGTCCTCATGCTCCAGGGCATATCAAGTCAGGCGTAACTGATTATATATAGAAAGGCAGGTGCTATAATTCTGCTCCTCCAGGGCATACCACATATCACCAAGAGGTGGTCTAGCTTGTTCCAGATCATAGAAGCTAACCAAACCATCTTTGTTTTGGCTTTATGTGGCCTCAGTTTATATTATGTCATATTCATATCTCTGTTTTCATAGGATTGTGAATTGATAGCACATTTGTCACATATTTTGCGCGCTGCAGGCAGAAGCTCTGAGGCAGCCCAACCCTCTCCAAACCTAGAGGGTTCCCAAGTTTAACTTAATGTAGTGGACGGATCCTGCCCACCTCCCTCTCTGCATTCATAACAGTTTCCACCATGTAAACACAGATCCCAGTTCTTATAATGAACCACATAAAAAAATAGATTTTATTTTGCCCTTGTGCTGAGTGCATTCCCATACCACCCAAGTCTTTAGAATAATCATACATAATACTGCATTGGGGAGGAAGAGGACTTGTAGAATCCATGCAATCTCACACATGATGTTGTTGGCCACAATCCATCAGTATCATGCAGCTTCTTGGGAAATAAAGCGCTCCTTCTCTCAAACCAGCTGCCATCTGATTTGAAAACACAAGAGGCAGTGAAGCAGAGGTGTGTACATGTCAAGCAGCGGCGGCACATGCGCCGATGACAAGTTTGCTGAAGGGTAAAATGCAGCTCCTGGGATCTGCAGTTCAAATTAGGGCCACAGTGTGTGTGTGTGTGTGTTGGGGGGGGGGAACCAGTAGCTGCAGGGACTCCCTCCTCCCTCCTTTTCCCTGGGACTACAGAATGGGGGAAGGAGGCAACCCAAATACAGTATAAGGGAAGCCCGAGGCGCTCTCGGTTCGGCTGGACTTTCGGAACTGGCGCTTTGCCCGCTCAGGATCTAAGCAAGGGGGTCCTGTGTCTAGCTCCAATGCCAAGGCCCCAGATGCCACCCGCAGGCCGCTCTAAATCAGCCCCTTCCCATCCTACGATTAGCCCGTGGGGAGCCTGGGAAGGTCGACAAGCAAGACCCCCTGCGAGACCCTCCCCAAAAGTGTTGCTTGGGCCACCAAGCGCTCTCCAATGGCTTCTACTACGTTTCTGAGACGTTGGCGCAACAGATCGACAAAATAGGGTTTTGCCATGCCTCTGAGCATGTGCCGATTCGCATTTGAAACTCAAATCCCATCTGGACTGGGGATGGAGGGCTTTGCTTCTTTGCGGTGCCCTGAGCGCCTGTAACCATCTGCGTGCCCTCCTACGAGGGATGATGTTGATCCTCAGCCCCCCCCCCCCCGGCCTGTTTGCAAGCTGGCAGGCGAGCTGAGCGGAGCCCGGAGAAGAGATGCGCGCGCGGGAGCGGGGGCGCTGCGGCCGCTGTTGCTCTCCTCCCTCTTCCTTCCGCTCTCTTGCTCCGCGGCTGCTCTGGCTCGGCTCCCCTCGCGTCTCGAGCCCCTTTAAGAAGCCGCCGCGGAGCTCCTTGACGTCACCCGCCGCCCGCGGAACTCCCGCCCGCCCCGAGGAGCACCAGCTGCAGTAGCAGCAGCAGGAGGAAGAAGAGCCGCGTCGCCCGCCCGGTGAGTGGCTTCGAGGGCCTGTGGAGCAAAGCCTCTCCGGATAGACCCCCTACCCCCACGCCCATCGCTCCGGCCCCTTGCAGATCCCCCCGATGCCCCCCCCCGATCTTCAGTACAACCAGGAGCAGGAGCAGGCCGAAGCTGCAGCGGTGGCAGCAGCGCCCCCTCTCTGTTTGCCGCGCTCCGCCTGCCCCTCGCCTTGCACCGACTACCCCGAGGCGGCGGGGACTTCTAAACTGGGGCCCCGAGAGCGACTCAGCCCCGGGCGGCGCCTCGGGAAGAGGGGCACTCTGCACGCGCTCAGGGGCACTCTGCGCACGGCCCATCCTGGCAGCTGGGGGTGGGCAGCAACTCCGTCCCGCTCCTTGTCGCTGGGCAGGCGCCCCCCTCGCCACCCCCGCTATGGCCCTGCACAGCAAGTCCTGGGGCGGCCCCCACCAGAGCTTCCCCCCGCCCGCACGGCTTTTCTCCCGCCGCATGATCGTCCTGCAGCAGGCACAGGCAGATTTAGGGCGCCCGGAGGCGAGCCGGGCCATCGGGGTCCCCCTGGCTCCGGGTGCTGGGCAGCGGCTCCCCCAGGCGACCTGGATATGCTGCGGACCTTCCGCAAGCCGATCAACCCCCTATCTCCCTCCCCCAATCAGGAGAGATAAAAATAAAAATCCACTTGCAAGAGAAAGTCCGCCCCCCGCAATCTTCTTATTCAAACAGCCCCTTGCCAAAATCACTTGGTTAGGATGCAGGAGCCTGGTGTCGCCGGCGGGTTAGACCTTGGCCGGGGACGCGCAGTATCGCCGGGACCCCCCTTTCCGAGCTTGCAATGGGTCCGTCCCCGCCTGATTAAAAGCCAGCTGCTCTTAGGCCTCCTTGCGGGCGGTGGGGGGGAGGCGGATTTAATTTCTATCTTCTTTAGAGACGGGGTGGCTGCGCCAAGGCCGAGCGAAGCCAGCCTGGAAAAAGGAGAAGAGAAACCCCAATCGGGTGCAAATCCCGGAACGACTCCCCAGGCTTTGCTCTCTCTCCCATCCTGTCATGGCTGCTGGTTGCAAGAAGGACCCTGTGATGGCTGCCCAGTTCCTGCCCAGCTGGGTTCAGGCCCTTGTGTTAACTTTGGAAGCCCTGCACAACGTAGGGCCAGGGTACCCCAGGGACGTCCTCAGCCCTCTACTCCCAGCTCCCTGGCATCATTTGCAGGCGTGTTGTTGGCGTCTCCTGAGTTGGTGAGGCTTATCTGACAGCAAGTGAAATAGAGCCTGGAGTGCCAGGCTCTGTCAGGAGAGATTCCGCTGGTGCCCCTTTGGCTTCAGCCTTTAAATGCCTGCTGAAAAGTTTCCTATGATGCCAGGTTGCATTTGCAGGCTATTAAGAGCACCTCTTTCCATAATAAATACTTGGTCTTCGATTCTAAATTTTGTTTCAGTTCTGTAGTGATATTATTGTAAACTGCTTTGATTTTTCTTATGATACAGTGGTATATAAATAGTTTGTTTATATATATTTTTAATAAGGCTATTGCTTTAGTGTTGGAGGGGGGGGGAGCCAGGAACACTAAATGAGATCAACCAAGTGTTGCAAGGCCTGGTTGAGACAGTGAGGAACACCCTTTAGCCGTCAATTGGGGCCCTTTTAGGTGACCCATTTAGTAGGCTTTCTTTGTGATTTCCTGCACAAATTTTACACAGTGGGTTTGTCTCCAGTCAGTTCATCATCCCCTTACCCTGGTTTGCTTGAGGAGTTTAAAAACAGCTTCCCGTTGATCATTTGTCCCCCCCCCCAGCTTTCCAGTGTACCCCCCCCGTCACTTTCTAAACCACAGAAAGTCAAGATCCTTTCTTAAAGCGTTTGTTGTGCTCAGGTGACAGAGCTCTTGAATTCTCTTTCCTTGTATAAACTTCGCTTTCTGGTTTGTGCTTGGGTGTCTCCTGCAAAATACTTGACCATATGGCAGCCCCCTTAATATGGGTTAGCAGCTGGATTAGCCTCATTGTTTAGGAAATGTATGTAAAGTGTCTGTGGGAAACATCTTAAAATCGGTCCTTTTTTCTTACTGAAATACGTATTCCTTTTTTAACTGTGGTGAGCATTTCTGTGTGGCTGTCATAAAAAAAAAAGGATTGGTTCCAGAATGTATCGAGGTGGGGCAGTGGCATCACCGAAACAGTCTGAGGAAGCTGTATCAGCCCCTCAGATGAAGGCCAGGGCATGGCTTTTGCTGTCCCTCTCGCTGCCACTAGGCTTTTCAGCTGAAAGGTGCCAATGCCAATTCGAGTAGAAATGTGCAGATTCGTAAGGAACCTGTAAGGCTTGGCTTGCATGCATGCATGTATGAGTCCTCTGGGCCAGGGGTCCTTTAGGATACGCTTTGCAGTCCCAAAATTCCTGAAAGCCTTTCCCTCCCATGTCGTGTGCTTGAAGAGGGCCATAGAGAAGGCTTCCCCTCCCTCCGTTCACTCTGCGTCTTCTCTTTGCAGTCCCCACCTCCATGCCGAGACTCCTGTGAGGCGGAGGCTGTTGTGGACATGGCTGCCGGCGCCCGGGCTTTCTCGGAAGGGAAGATTGCTGGCCTCTATGACCTGGAGCGCACTTTGGGCAAGGGCCACTTTGCGGTGGTGAAGCTGGCCCGGCATGTCTTCACGGGGGAGCGGGTGGCTGTCAAGGTGATTGACAAGAGCAAGCTGGATGGCGGGGCGGCCGCTCACCTCCTGCAAGAGGTCCGCTGCATGAAGCTGGTGCAGCACCCCAACGTGGTCCGCCTGTATGAGGTCATCGACACCCACGCCAAGCTCTACCTCATCCTGGAGCTGGGCGACGGCGGGGATATGTTCGACCACATCATGCAGCATGAGGGAGGCCTGGGGGAGGAGAAGGCCAAGCACTACTTCGCCCAGATTGTCCACGCCATCTCCTACTGCCACCGCCTCCACGTGGTCCACCGGGACCTCAAGCCCGAGAACGTGGTCTTCTTCCAAGAGCAGGGCGTGGTGAAGCTCACAGACTTTGGCTTCAGCAACTGCTTCCAGCCAGGCACCATGCTAACCACCAGCTGTGGCTCCTTGGCCTACTCTGCCCCAGAGATCCTGCTGGGGGACGAATACGATGCTCCTGCTGTCGGTAAGAGCTGGGGGGGGGTGCTCTGGTGGCCTTTCGAAGGGGGAAGAGTTGGCAAGAGGCAGAGAGGGACATCCTGAGACCTACTGCACCTTATTATTTTATTTGAAACTGGATAACCTGCTCTTTCGAAAAATATAGCAGGGCGGCTTACGGCATGTAAAATACAAAAACAGTCTATAAACATGTATAAAACATAATTAAAAGCATTGGTGAATGCTGGTTGGTTAAAAGAAAAACGTGTATTCTGAAGGCCTGACCCAGCAATGTAGTTATCAAAAGACGTCGGAGAGAAAGCAGGGACAGTTTCTGCTATGCTTCCCCAGGTGTGGAGTTTCACAGGACAGGGCTTGCCACACAACAGCCTTGGTCCTTCGGGGAGACCAGATGACGTCGTAAAAGGCCTAGAAGAATTGTAGAGTTGAGGATCATGTAGTCCAACCCCCTGCAGTGCAGGAATATGCAGCTCTCCCATACGGAAATTGAACCTGCAGCCTTGGTGTTACCAGCACCACGCTCTAACCAACTGAGCTATCCAGCCTTCTCTGGCTTGCCAACCTGCCCTCTGGTATGTTTTGGGCTAAAGGTTCCATCATCCCTGGTCATTGGCCATGCTGGCTGGGGTTGATGGGAGTTGTAGTCCAAAACACCTGATACCAGAGGCTGGAGCTATGCCACAACAGAGGGAGGCCTTCATGTCCTCCTTGTGGATTTGACAGAGAAAGCAAGAGGCCAAGCTCATGAAATGGCCCTTTGGTGTGATCCAGCAGGGCTCATATTTCGGCCTTGGATTATCATGAGCCTTTGACATATTAGGGTGGAGTTTAATCCAGTGGCAGTAGTTGTGTTTGTGTAGGACATAAATATATTCTCTAAATGTGGCATTGCCCACACGGATTCCACAGTGGAACAACAACGCAGCAACATTTGTAGTATATCTGCAAGTTGTAATAGGAGAACTTGTGCTGCCCTCCCCAGATTTTGAAAAGGGCAGTCAGCCTTCAAAATATGGGCAACAGATAAAGGTTAGGAGGATAGAAGTTTCTGCCATGTTGTCACCATTTTGGTGGTTAATTCAATCTCTGTAAATACATTTAGAGGAGAAGGTATGGATTATTTCAAAACAGAGAACAAACAGAACCCTCTTCCCCATTTTAAAAAAAGGATTTTCACTATGGTGCATGATGCAATACCATCCAAAAATTCAGGTCATTTTCTGATTCTCAAAAATCTCCAATGTTAATGAACAACAACCCCAGAGCCAAAGGAAGCAAAATGATGACAGTCTACAATGTAGGCCCAGGATGGTTTGGTGTTGTGGCCTTTTCCCTTAAAGGGTGGGGGCAGGCATGTGGGGGGGGGGGCTGCTGAAGGAAGTAATCACTCACCCATCCTGTTCTTTTCTGAGCCCTCCAACTTGGCTTGAGTCTCATGTTGGCAACAGGTAGCTTGACTCGGGTTCAACAATATCTGGCCATTCTTGGTGACTGCTTCCGTAGGAATGCAAGAGAGGAGGCGAGTGAGGGCCCAGCCAGGAATAAATGTCTAGTGTGAGTTGTGTGCCTGGCCAGACCCCCTCCCCACCTCCAAAGACTGCCTGAGCTAGAGAAGAGGCCTGGGCAGGGCAGGATGTGGTGAGTGAGAGGGAGGTTTGTGTGTGTGTGTGTGTGTGTGTGTGTGTGGTGGTATTGCCTGTTTGCTTGCCTGCTTAGAACTTTTGGTTGCGGCTGCTAGCAGGAAAGAGCAGAGCTTGTTGACAGGTGCAGAGCCTGCCTCCAGGCTGTGGCTTCTCCCGGCTGGCATCCCCATGGCCACACCCTCCTGTGACCCAGAGCATGGGCTGCACAGCACAGGGCACTCAGGCCTGTTGGGCCTCACACCCTGTTGCTCAGCTGACCCTTGGCCTGCTGGTCTGCTGGTGGCCTTGCCCCATTAGCTGCTGCCCTTTTCATGCCATGCTGCTCCTTGGCATACAGGGCACCCTGGTAGCCTGCAGCAGAACAGTGTGTGTGTTTGTAGGGAGCCCTGTGAGTCACCTGTGGCATTTGCTTGGTTTTCTCTTACCATTCCTGTGGTGCTGTTCAGTAAATTGCGGAGGAGAGGGGGGGTTGGATTAGCTGCTTCTAGAAAGAGAGGGGGTGAGAGAGACTGCTGTTCTGACTGCCTCTCCCACTCCTTGAACAGGGCTGGATTGTTGGCATTTTGCAGCCTTTCCTAGACAGTTGTTGCCAGAGGGCCTGAGCACCCTCGCCTGCTTCCTTTGCTCCATCCTTCCTGCCCCCCCTCCTCTTTTCCTTTGCCAAGGCAGCCGCTTGACCTGGGAAGTGAGAAATGGTGCTCTGGGAAGGAAGAGGTGAGGTCAGAGGGAAATGGGTGGGATTTCCTGCCTGCCCAGCAGAGTGTTGTTGTTTTTTTCTTCAATGGTCCCGGAGCCATGAGGAGGAGAATGGCCACTACTTCAGACAGCCAAGGATCTCTCTTTCAGGCTCTGGGAATAACGAGCTGAGTGCGTATGAGAGCCAGCCATTTCTGCAGCTTGCCAAACTGATCCACTGACCAGGAGGCCAGAAGCCTTGAGAATGGGCTGGAAAATTAGAAAGGTTTCTGCAGCTTTGGGAAGCCTTTTCCCCCGTCCCCACCCTAACATTTCTACCATGCGTAAAACAAAAATATGCTTGTTGAGCAGTGCAGTGTACAAAGGGAGCCCTCTGCCTAGGCAGACCCTAAACTGTGAAAGGTGATGGCTTCCTAGCCTGCAAGAGAGTTCATCCAGCAGCTTGAGGCCAGTGGGATCCCTAAAAGGCTTGAGGAGGATGCCATGGTGGGTTCCTGCTGTGCTCGTCCCCTCAAATGGGGCAACTGAGCCATTGAGCTACACTTGGTTTAGGTTTGAAAGAGGACATCAAGAACCATAGAGTTGGCGGCCCAAGACACCCTGCTGACTCTGGCACCCTCCCATGCCACACACAGGAGCTGCTCAGAGCGGCGGCGGCCGACTCTTCCTTCCACCTGTTCTCCACTGCGTAGGAGGGCAGCAGAGCTAGCTTACAAGGGTGCACAGAGAGCTCTGTCTGGATGGCACCCAAAGGGGATTGGCAAAAGTGGAGGCCTCAGGTGGAAGAGCCAGGGAGCTGCTGCTGCATCTGTGGCCCCACTCGCTCTGCCTAATGGGAAGACTGGCCCAGCGAGAACAGGACTGGAACTGAATGGAGCTGCTTCTCTCATTGAGCCTATTGTGCTATTTGGAGCTGAGCCAGTTGAAGATGCTCTAGGTTTCACCCTGCAGCCTCCAGGGGAGCTCATGGCCTTGCTAGCCCCTGGGCTTTGCAGGGGGTGTTTGTGAAGTGTGTGTGTGTGTGTGTGTGTGTGTGTGTGTGTTGGTTTTGCTGGCCGCAGTGCACATAAAGATACCAGATCCAGATATGACAACATGAGGGCAGTGGGGTTGATGTCTGTGTGAGCAGCACCTGTTGCCTCTTCAACCATATACAAATCTTAATGCAAAGTTCCAAGAGGAACCAAAAGCTGAAATCGCAGCATCCTGCACCTTTGAGGCCATGTGCCTGTTCTGAGAACGTTGCAGATTTGCATCCACTTCCTCCTTCTTCCACCCTTTAGTTGAGGGCCCTGACTACGTTACAGACAGCTGCAAGCCCTCCTGGCAGCTGAGAACTTTCTTTACGCCCCTGACTGCTGGGAGCCCAGCTACCCGTGAACAGCAACTTGCTGCTCTGCTCCTTAGAAGGAAAATGCTCTGTTTCAGAACAGCTGGTGTTCTCCTTCTCTGCCCCCGCCCCCTGTGCATGCATCACCCCACCCTCAAGTCCCCCAGTGGCTGATTTCTCCTCCCTGCTGCTCCCCCTCCTGGCCACCTGCCGCAATGAGGACCTTGACTGCATAGCAGCACCCCTTCGGCTGCTATTTATAAGCACCCTTGGAGCAGCGGCTGCTCCTCTGTGCTGGCAGTCTGCTTCCTGCTTCCTGTCTCCTCTTAAAGCCAGCTGTGTAGGAGCCTGAGATAACCTCTCGTTTTTCTTCACAGCCAAGCCGTCAAACTGAGGCAAATGTGTGGGCGAAGCAAGGCCTGGCTCCACAGTTCTCAGCAACTGGAGGGGGCGGGGGCTTTTTTCCTGGAGTCCCTGTGTCCTAGCTCAGTGTATGTGTGTGAAAGTGAGACAGATTGACACCTTGCCCCTTGTCAGTATCCCCTTTTAGAAGTGGCTTCCTTGCTTCCTGTATTGAAGGGACTTGCAGCTGGTCCTGGGGCCCCAGCCCGTTGCTGGAGGGTGGGGGGAGTGGGCTGGAGTTGGGTTGACCGATGGGGTCATTGGTTTGTGGGCAAACAAGTCTTGCTTGCAGTAACAAGTGGTGGACGCACACACCCCGTCGGCTGTCCAAGGTCCACCTCATTCCCACCATGTGGCAACTGCAAATGTCAGCACATGCTGACAGGGATTTGAGAATAACTGCGAGAACCCACTTGCTGTAAGCAGCCTAGCCAGTTAAGAACAGGATGTGGTAGAGATGGGGAGGCCACTGGAGTCGCATGCCCCTCACACCCAAAGCCCCTCTCTTTATGGGCTCGTCCACACTTCTGCTTCTCCCATGCTTAGAAAGCATGGGTCCAAGCTGTTTCCCCCTTGTCCCACTCCTTTCCATTCTTTAAGTCTGCATCAGAGCATATGTCAATCTGGAGCAAACCCAAATTGCTGTTTGCTCCAACTGAGCACTAAAGAGTGGTTTTTCTGTGTGGAAAGCCACAGGAAAAAGAGGAACTGTGGACATGCCCTAAGTGACATGAGGAACAAGCCACACACAATATTTTGCTATCTCTCACCCGGGGGCAGCTTTTGCAGGCCACGTTCTTTGTTAAGCATTCGGTTTTAGTCTTGCATCAGCATTCCAGATCACCCTTCTGCCTCAGGCACTGCTGCCTTCCTCACAGCAGGGAGGGGCTTCCCTAGTCCTGAACTACTACTGGGGCACCATGGGGTGGCAGGGGCGGCCCTCTCCCTGCCTGCATCTCCCTTGCATGTGCCTATATTCTGCTCCTGGAATAATTAGCCAGATAGCCAGCCTTCAGACTGGGCTGGATGGGAAAGATCATAGCTATGCTGTAGGGCCCTGAAGTCTGGGTGGGTGTATCCATGTTCAGCCTCTCAGGTATCTGCTTTGAAGGGGGACCTCTGGCTCTGCTGATTTCAGGGGCCCTTTCCTCCCCAGGGCCTAGCTCTGCAAAAGAAAGCAAGTCCCAGTGGTGGCGATGAGCACCTGTGATGACACCAAAGGGACCCCATGTCTGGAGCAGTTTTGTTGATGATAATAATGAATGATGATGATAGTTGCAATGAATGCACAGATAGTTGTGTGAATATTCATTCACCATTAAAAAACCAAAAAACCCATACAATAATAAAAACCTGAGGAGGAGAAGCCTTTGCTTTCCAAGGACCTTCATGTGCCCTTCAGATGCTGCTGGTAGGAGGAGAGATGGCTCATCCCACAGCTGAGGGCTGTACAGTGAGGGTGGGTGTTTTTAATATTACAGCCACCTCTCCACCCTGAGATTTACACACACACACACACACACACACACACACACACACACGAGAGAGAGAGAGAGACTGTTGCCCATTATTGTCTCTCTCCTTGTTGATTTGGGAAAGGGAAGTAAGAAGACACTTTCAACAAGCATGGCAGTGCTACTCCTGCAACCTGTTCTGTTGAAACCAGGGAGTGTCCCAACAACACTCCTACCTCTGCGCACATCCTTCGCAAATCTCGGACCTGCCTGCAGCTGTCAGTAGACAATCGCCCCCACTTTCTGTAGGATCCACCTAATGGCAGTGTGCTGTCAAGGGTGTTGTGAGGGGGACTGAGTTTCAGTTCTCTTACAGCAGGACCCGACATTTCCTGTTCCTTCCACACACACCCCTCCCTAGTTTTTAAACCTGGGTTCAGAGCTAGGGAGACCCAGGCACATACCATAGTTTCCTGGAGGTGTTGATAAAGTGGCACTTGCAAGTTTGATGCAAATGCGTGCTATGAACTGTGCCCCGAGTCATTTAAATGCTTAGCAGTGCCCCCTAAAAGCCAGAACAACAGAGAGGGTTGCTGCAGTTGCAGTCTTTCTGGGTGGGATGGGGAACAGCTTTAGGCATATCGGGTGGGCATGCAAGGGTAAAATTGGAAAGATCCCCTGGGTGGCCTTGGGGTCCTTTGACCCACTTGGGCAGAAGCGCCTAGCAGGAGGCGGAAGAAACAGCTCTTGCCAAGAGCTTGCCTGAGCCGATTATGCTCCAAAGGATTTGAGGCCCCCACCGCACTGCTTATCTCCTGGGCCATCTGTGCTCTGTCCCCTCCTTTCCTCTGCCTCCAAGAGCTTTGCCCGCCCCCCTCTCCAGGCTGCCTTCTTTCCCTGCCTTGTCCAGGCCTGCTGGGAGAGTCCAACTTGCTCTCGTCTGCAGAGAACCCAAACCCAGGGCTCATCTTGGTGGTTCTTGAGTTGGGGGCAGGGGGCAAGAGACAATATCATCTGTGGCCCTCCAGACATTGTTGGGCTCCCCCTCCCTCCAGCCGGCATCCCAGCCATTCACCAGGATGGTGAGGAGTTGGAATCCAGCCAGGAAGGTGGGCTCTGGCTCTCAGGCCAAGAGGGCGATGGAAGGAGCCTTTTCCTGTTGCCTCCTCCACACATTTCACTGCTGCTTCCTTTTCCTCTCGTCTTCCTTGGTCCTGCACCTCCATCCCTCCCAAATCCAGGACAGCCAAGGTCCTGGGGCACCCCTCTCTCCTTTCCCCCATTTTTTGGGGGTTTGCAAATAACAGGCTTTTTTGCTTACGGTGTGCCGGTCCTTTTTTCATCTTAGTCCTGAGCTGGAAGGTATACATTATACAGGATGAGGTGTAAGTAGGACTACCCTTGGGACTGATCTGGAGGCTGCAGCTGGTGCAGACATTGGCAGCCAAGGGGCTTGTGGGGGCAAATGACCCCCTAGCATAAAACGCCTTGCTTGTGGGATTTGCACTGCCTGCCAAGCTGCTGCAAGGCCAAGTTCAAAGTGCTGGTCCCGCCCTATAAGGCCCCATGCAGCTCATCAAATGCTTGCAATTAATGTCACTTGTTGTTTGAGCTTGATCTCCGTAAGAAAATCAAAGAAAAGTTGGAAGGTTTTGGTTCAGGGCTGTGGAACTGAGGTGGGCTGGTGAACTTTGGGAATGCTCACCTGCATTTACGGCATTTATCCCCACCTTCTTCCCTCCAGGGAGCTCATGGCGGTGTACTTGCTTTTCCTTTTCCGAATTCTGTCATCACGACAACCCTCTGAGGTAGTTTAGGCTGAGAGTGAGTGAGTGGCCCAAGGTCACCAAGGGAGCTTCATGGCTGAGTGGGGGTTTGATCCTGGAACTCCCAGGTCCTAGTCTGACACTCGCAGGATCTCCATAGAACACTGAGTAGACATCCAGTAGAGGTTGAGGAGAGGTTCTGATCCATCTCACGGTTCTGTGGCATTGAGGCTACCTGTCTTTTCCGCAGCAGCCTTAGTTTTACAAAGTGGTGCTGTGGTGGAAAGCCAATAACTTGTTGGAGTGCTTGTGTGCGGGTCTCTCTATTTCAGGCCAATGATCCCAGTTCCTCTCCTGCTTTCTGTCTTTCTCCAGATGTCTGGAGCCTGGGAGTCATCCTGTACATGCTGGTCTGTGGGCACCCGCCTTTCCAGGAAGCCAACGATAGCGAGACGCTGACCATGATCCTGGACTGTCGCTACGAGACCCCCCCTCATGTCTCCTCCGAGTGTGCAGAGTACGACCAGACCCCCCCTCCCAACTCACTCCCCCCACACCTGTCATGCAGGCAGGGTGTTCCTCCACCACCCCACTTGCCCTCACCAGGTGTGGCAACCGGGTCTTGCACCTCCTTCCTCCCTCCAGACAGAGAGAAGACACTTGGGTTACCTGCCCCAGATTGTAGCCCTGCCCCTTTGCTGACCCTGTGCCCTCCAGGCTCTGCCCAAAGCAGCATGGTTGTTGTAGAGTAGACCCTAGTGGGCATAAGGTTGGGGAAGAATGAGGGTTCTGGATCCTTCCGTCCTCGCCCCCTCCCCCGGGACTGGGCCTGCTCCCTGTGGGGAATGGTGTGGGAGGTCAGCAGGCATGCCTGAGATGGGACACAGTGCCCTTTCACATGCCCCCCCCTTTGCCCCAGGCTCCCTCTGTCTGTGAGGAAGGAGGGGGGTGCTAAGGCTGACTGAGCTCCAGGCAGCAGCAGGCCCTGTAGGGCCCGGCTGCTCCCGCTTAGAGACCAGCAATGTCAACAGTCATATGAACACATGGGCTGCCTATCTGTGTGGGGGCTGGGGTGGCGTGGGGCTTCATAGGAGGGGAGCAGGAAAGATGTGATATCTGAGGGCCTCCGCCTGACTCTGCCCCCCCCCATACACCCCTTCTGTTGGACAGCCTGATCGCCCAGATGCTGCAACGGGACCCCCAGAAGAGAGCCTCCTTGGAGCAGATTGAGAGCCACCCGTGGCTGCAAGGTGTGGACCCTTCCCCTGCCAGCCGCTCCCTCCTGCCTCTGACGTCGCACAGGCGGGTCTCGGAGGAAGAGCACGGCATCATAATCCAAGCCATGATGTGCGGCAACATTGCGGACCGAGAGACCATCCAGGAGTGAGTCTCCCAAGGGTGGGAGGAGGAATCTGAATTTCCATCCGACAGGGCTCTGGTTGGCTGGGAGGAAAGTGGTGGTGGTGGGGAGCAGGGAGAGAGGACTTACTTGAAGTAAGTGCTTTGGGGGCTGCCTCCTCAGGCTAGCCCTGCCCTCTTTCCTAACCCCTCACCAGAGGCTGTGGGCTGCTCTCCTCAAGAGTCATAAGGAAGGCTGCAACAGCCGTGATGCAGCAGTCCTCCTCATGTGGAGGACTTCTGCCCTGGAGCCACCTGCCTTCGCTCCTGGGTTGGGTCAGCTTTGGCTAGCCTGAGGCCTTTCAGATTATTTGGACTACAGTTCCCATCAGACTCAGCCAGTGCTTGTCACTTCCAGCACCGCTGTGCTGGCTGGGGCCGATGGGAGTTGTAGTCCAAAACCTTGGGGGGCCTCAGGCTGGGATAGGCTGGTTCTCTTTGACCAAAAGCATCTCATTGGTTGAGATGAGCCTGTTGGCAGTGAGTGCCCTCTGAGCATTGTGGGTTTTCTGTCAGGAGAGGCTTTTGGCATCTTGCCTCTTTCGTCCTTCCTGGAGTTGAAGCTGCTTCCCCCTCCCCACCTCCTTTGCCCTTGTATCACCTCTACATGCTCCTTGCAGGGTCCTCCGAGGGTCCTCTTGACTTCTGTCCCTTGCGTCCCTTGTGCACAGAGCCCTGGAGGCCAACCGCTACAACCACGTGACGGCCACCTACTTCCTGCTGGCTGAGAGGATCCTGCGGGAGAAGCAGGAGAAGCAGAGTCCTGGGGCCAGCCTGGCCTACAACCTGGCACAGCACGTCCAGAGCAGGCAAGTCTTGGGCTTCTTGGGGCCGGGGTTTGCTTTGACCATTATCACAGCTTTCTGAGCATCTTCCCTTTCGCCTCTTTCTCTCAGGAGCTCCTTCAGTGCCGTGGGGGACCTCAGCCAACCGTTGCCCACTGCAGGCAAAAGCCCTCAGCTACTGCCCACAACCAAGAGCGCCCTGGAGGCCTTTGCAGAGCATTCTGGGAAGTCCCTTCTGTCCTTCTCTGCGCTGGGGGAGGACGAGTCACCTTCCAGCTTCCACGGGTGCGGGCAGCCCATCAGAGCCCTGATCCGGCCCTCACTCATCGAGACCCCCATTGCCAAGAGCACCCCCGCCCTGCAGCAGATTTCAGAGGAGGAAGAGGAAGAGGAGGAAGAAGAGGAGGGGAAGCCTGGCCTGTTCCGCAGGAGGACGTCTTCCCTGAACCAGGAGCAGATGAGCGACTTCCAGAGTGCCAAGGCTTCCTTGCTCTTCTGCCGGAGTCTTGCGTCCCACAACAAAACAGGGAAGGCTCTCGGCCCAGGATTCCCCAAGGCCCGTGGCGGCCCGGAGCCTCAAGGGCCTGAGGGTGGCCTCTCCCTGGCAGCGCCACAGAGGCCTCCATGCCCGCAAGGCGAACGGGAGGAAGGCACGGGCACTCAGGTGGGCAGCAGCCTCTGCCTGCCACAGGAGGTGGGCCCAGAAATGCCAGCAGAAGGAGGCCCAAGAGGCAGTTCTTGGATGGGCGGCGAGGAGAGGAGGAAGGGCAGTGCCATCTTGGAGGCAGTGGGCAGAAGGGAGCAGCCCCCAGGGAAGGAGGAAGAGGCCAACAACAACACCCCCCCAGGGAAAGGAGGCGCTGGAGAGGGGGAGGAAGAAAGACTCTTGAAGAAAGAGCACGGGCCACAGAATGACGATGAGACTCTGGCTCAGGGCAGCTGTTGCCAGAGAGCTGTTGGGATGAGCCCAGCCTCAGACCCGGAAGGCCAATTCCGAAAAAGCCCTGAGATGGGACCAGCCCAGAGGCCGAAGCAGGACGGCCACCGGAACGGCAGTGGCAGTGAGGGCCTGGCAGACGTGATCAAGCTGGACCCTGCCAAGGGCAAGAACACCAACCTGAAGGACCGCATCCTGCAGTTCCCGCTCTGCGAGAAGGCCCTCGCGTTCCGGATGCGGCCCGCCTCCAAGGAGAGCCTCCTCTCTCTGGGACAGTTCAACTGTTGCCACGTCATCTGAGCCGTGCGTCTGCATCTGAAAGAGAGGGATGTGGGCCGAGGAGGGGGATGGCGGCGTTGGTGGAAAGGGCAAGGCCCCCAGCCAGAGGGCCTCGGGTCGCTCCATTCCCATCATCCTCTGCTCCCAGTGAATGGCTGCCACCATCCTGCCCACCCGCCTGCCTGCCTGCCTGAGAATTGCATTTAGACTCTCGCTCTGTATATCTGCTTGAATCGGGTGAACCAAATGGCTGCTCCTCTCCCTCTCCCCCCTTGTCCCAGCTGATGCTGTCCAAAGGCCACAGCCCCCACCCACCCCCTTAGTTCACTGCATGCTGAACCTAAATCTCCACCCAAGACCAGGGTGTGGGTGTTTGTGTGCCCAGAGCTTCACAACAGCAAATCGGCAGTTCCGATTCCGCTGGGAGCTCTGGGGTAGCTCAGCTGGAGAGAGGCCAGTGGGTCTATGGAGGCCTGTTTCCTCCTATGTCCCCCTGCTAGAGGCCAAGGGTGCCTGTCGCAGAGGCAAAATGGATGTCCCTGGTCCTAAAGCTGACAGAGGCGTTGTGGGTGGAGATTCTTTCAACCTCCTTTACAGTGGCCAAAGGGCAACCTTTCTCTCCCACCACCCCAGCAAGGCTCCCCACGTGAGTCTTGCCACGTGGGTCCCTGCAGGTTTACTTGTCCTAAACAGGTCAGCTTCAACGGCCGCCTTTCTTGCCCCTAAGGCCAACTCAGATGGAAGCCATGTTGCTCCCGGCCACCTTTGCTCTGCTTCCAAGCCCCGGCCACCAACTGCTGCTTGGCTGTGCCTGTCGAGGCATCCCAGATTGTGACTGTCTGAGCTGAGCTCCCGGATGCTGCTTCCCCTTTCCTGCCAGGGAGGGACCAAAAAGCCAACTCTGGCCTGCATTTGCTAGTGGCTACCTTTGCTTTAAGCTGACGTGGCAAGCTTTGTAGTTGCAAATGGGCAGCAGACCCAGGCCTGGACTCAAGCTCCTCTTCAGGTGCCCTGGGAAGGCCCCTGGCTGCCTCTCCTCCTCCCTGGGCTAGGAGTCCAACAGTGTTGGCTGGCCGAGGCCGCCTCTTCCCACCCCATCACCTCCCAGTCCAGCTCCGTTTTGGAATCAGAGCCAGGCTGCGGGGAGGTGCAGATCAAGCACCAATCTGAGGTAAAAATTAGACACACACACCAAGTGGGGTAGGACAACTCCTGAGCACCAATGCCAAAAGCGGCTACTGATTTCACCCACCTCTCCTGTGGGCCAGGTGACTGAGGTTGTGGGACTGCACCCATGGCAGGGCTGAGAGCGCCCCCCTCTTGGTCTTTCCTAACTGCTGGGTGTGGGTCCAGAAGGGGTGCTGATGGGGCTCTTGCTTTGCCTTTATGAAGGCATCCCTCTCCGTTAGCACTATCCATGTTGTTTTTGCCCTGCCCCTTATGGACTAGCTGCTTGGTTTGAGTCCCTGCTGGCCTGTGCATTGGAAGGAGCCCCTGCACCTGGCTGTGAGCTGCCTGCCTCTTTCTGGCCAGTCCCCCTGGACCGCTTTCCGAGGAGCCGCATGCATTTCTCTTCCAAAGCATCCCAGCTCTGCCAAGCCTGAAGAGGTGAGGTTTTTATAGCAATTGAAATATTTTTTAAGAATAGTCTATTTTAATGTAACATAGAGAAGGCTCTGTATCCCTTTCCCCCGCAAGCCCAGGGGTTTCCCTGGGCAGCAAATGCACTTTTTAGGAGTCAACTAGCCATGCTCTTCTCCCTGCCTGTTCCTCCCTCCCCCCCCCCATTTGCCAGCAATGTTGCCCCTACTTCCCTTCCCTTTTTCTTCTGTCCTCCTGAAGGACTTTGCCAGTTCGGGTGGGCTGGATGAAGGAGGGCCAAAGGACGAGGATGCCACCACAGAGGATGGCTCCTGGCCATGCTGGGAGGGACTTCTGTGTGTGTGTGTGTGTGTGTGTGTGTCTGTGTGTGCGCGCTCGTGTGCATCACATACACCCCCCTCCCCATTGCGTTCCTCCCTCCTTCCCCCCTTGAAGTGCTGCCAATCCTCATCCGCCTCCCCATTTATGCCCTACACCAAAACCTCCATCTTCTCTCTGAAACTCTTCCAGGAAAATAAGCTTTCTGTGTATTATTATTATCATTATGTTATTATTGTTATTATTATTATTATCATCCTTCTTTCTTGCTGGCAAGAAATGAATTGGGGATTTGATTGCTGAGCTCCCACTGGGTTCTGTATCAAGTGCACTGACTGGATCTAAGGCAGCAAGTGGAGTCCAATAAAATGGCTGTGCTGGACTCTGGAGCCGCCTGTGTGTTTCCTCCCTCAGGGTAACGTTGGGTGGGGATGGGTGTGAGCAGCAGGAGGAGGATTCCACTTCAATCCTGCCTTTTAGAGGGGCCCCTGTGGCTGTTTTCCACCTTCAACATTGCTGCTGCCACAGGAGAGTTTGTGTCTCTGAATAGGACAAGGGACAGTGATGGAGGCGGCAATTCCACACCTTGCCTCCTACGAACACCTGAAGCTGCCCTTCTCCAACATGGCGCCTTCCATATGTTTTGGGTTACAATTCCCAGCCAGCACAGCTGCCCAAACATCTGGAGGGCAGCTGGCAGTGGGAAGTTTGGACTAAATGGTGACCCTTTCTAAAGGTGGGACAGAATAAAGCAGCCGTGGCAGAGCCTCTTGGAAGCAAAGAGGCCTAGTGGCGCCTTTGAAGCCTGAGAGGTGGTTCCTCACGGCCTGAGCTTTTGTGGACAAGAGCCCCCTTCATCAGACGACAAAGTGCTCTTCTCAGTTACTGGCTGTACAAATACGCACATTGTTCTAGAAAGGGAAAGCATGAAAATAGTGGGGGCAGGAGGCCATGAAAGGCGAGAGGCTTGTGAATTCATAGCCATTTGGCCTCACACTTTACCATTCTCTCTCTCATCCTCCCCTGCCTCAGCCATATTTACTCTCTTAAGTCTGAGATGCCATGAGACAGAACTCTGTTTTATTTTTTTACCGGAGGACAGATAAATTGGAAAGCTGCCTTAACCTGGGGTTACAAAACTGAAGGTAAAGGCTGGTGTCAGCTTATCAGAGTCACTTGGCAGCTCCCCCCTCTCCATGCTAGAGCCCCAGGGTGGGGGGTGAGGGCGGTAGCCTTGGCAGAGACCCAGGCCAAGTTTCTCGTGAGATTCAGAGCCCTTCTCTTGACTGCCACATTTCTCCAGCTTATGATGGCTGGGGGGTCTCCAGGTGCTGAGCACTTTCAGGCTCAGGAGTTGCTTTTGGCTTCCCCACTGGTTCTCAGTGCCTGCCTGGCTAACTCCTTCCAGCCCTTGAGGCCAAGCGGCTCCTCTCCTCTGGCACAGAGACCACACTGGCAGCTGTTGGTCTGCAGGGGCTGCTTTTAGTCAGGCCAGGCTGAGCCTTCTCATCCCAACACCTGTTTTATGTAAGGCTTAAGTCCTGCAACATCCAGGCATCTTCACCTGCTCCAAGACGGCACATCCTGGAAGTCGCAACCCTGCTGGGATTTAACCCATTTTGCTGAAATGGTGCCCCTCCAACTAATCTGCTCTTGGAAACAGATGGATCAGAGCAGAAAGACCTGCAGGGGTTCATGGGTGGTGGGTGCTCTGAGAAGGGACCTAGGAAGGGCACAGACGTTCCCCAACCCTGGTTCACCTTCATAACCTTCCAAGAAACAACAAAGGTGGCAAATGCCCTCCAGTATCTGATATTTAAAGCTTTGCTGCTTCTGGGCATGAAGTAATAGTGCTAGTTTAGTTTCTATTCAGGTCCTGTTTTCTGTTAAAAGGAATCAAAGCAGCTTGCAATAACAATATAAAAACAATGAAAACAACCACTCTCCACTCCATATCGGTAGAGAAGAATCTGCAAATGGCTGGCCAAAGGCAACAATGGGAAAGAACAAATGTCAGGAGGCACCACATTTGCCTATTATATAAACAATTGCCAGTCTTGGCCAGCCTAAGTTTCACAAGGGCTGGCCAGGTCTCACCAGTGCCCTTGACCCACACAGTTGCTGGAGGGGAGGCAGTGAGGCACATGCAGTCTAAGACAGGTGTGCCAAGAGCCACCTCAAAGTTGCCAAATACGTTTGGGGCATGTACAAAGTTTGCAGGCTGAGCAATCCTTCGCAGCCAGGCTGCAAGGGGTCTCCTATGCAGTCAGGCTGGGGAAGGTACTTTGCCTAAGGCCTCCTTGTCAGAGAATACCATGCTGGGTTCAGTGCTCCGACTCTGTATGAGACATCTGCACAAGCTGACATATGGACAAAGGTAATACAGCTATCTGAGATTCTGTAACCTGCAGAATAAAGTGGTAAGGTCACTATATTCCCTATACAGAGAGAGCCCAGAGTGGGGCACAACTCTGGCTGCTTTACATCCAGTTGTGTACTTTGCTCAGAGGTCAGTCTCTCTCTTTGTATTTCACAGCATGTTAAACAGCCATGGTCAGGGCAGTCAGCAAGATGACTGACAGACTGTGTAGGGGGGCAAGTGGGGGGTGGGGGAGAGATGTGTGCTTGCTTTGAGGAGAAGCGGCCCCGTCAAGGGCACATACGCTTCACTCAAGGGCACATACACTTCACTCAATTTTTATGAAGCTTTGAAGCCATTTGCTGATAATACCAACAGTTCCTGCTTCATGCTCACACCAGTTGGTGCTACCTAGCATGCACTGGGCTCTACTATAATGTTCCACTGAATTTCCACTGATACAAAAGTGCCACTGATTTTTTGATGTAGTATATCTTTCTTTTGGGACACGGGTGGCACCGTGGGTTAAACCACAGAGCCTAGGACTTGCCGATCAGAAGGTCGGCGGTTTGAATCCCTGTGACAGGGTGAGCTCCCGTTGCTCGGTCCCTGCTCCTGCCCACCTAGCAGTTCGAAAGCACGTCAAAGTGCAAGTAGATAGGTACCGCTCCGGCGGGAAGGTAAACGGCGTTTCTGTGCGCTGTTCTGGTTCGCCAGAAGCGGCTTAGTCATTCTGGCCACATGACCCAGAAGCTGTACGCAGGCTCCCTCGGCCAATAAAGCGAGATGAGCACCGCAACCCCAGAGTTGACGGCTGGACCTAATGGTCAGGGGTCCCTTTACCTTAACCTTTATATCTTTCTTTGTTTTCTGAGCCAGAAAGTGGTTATACATTGGTGTGGAGCAGACACTTGCAGCTGATTGCCCTGAACTGCCACGATATGCATAAGCTTCCTGCAAACAGATGTCCCATTTTTGGTTGGCTTTCGGCCTGCAGACAAACAGGGAGGAATGCAAAGCTTTTAGAAGGGGTCTTGCTGAAAGCTGCATTTGTAGCTCCGAGCTGTAGTCATATGGACAGGAATCTCTGGCATCAGATGGTTTTGATTACTCCGGAAATGTCAATCAGTCAGTAAGATTTCCTCCTTACTTGAGGGTAGCTTTTTCAAATTCCAGCGCCAAGCAAACCCCTTTGGGTGCCCTTTGATTGAGAACAAGGCCTTCAATACTGGGAGGACAAGTCACGTCTCCTCTCCCACCCATTCCTGGAATGGTTGGGGCCAAGAGGCCCAGGCAGCCCAATGGGGCTGCTCTATGCACAGAATCTGCTAATGATTTCCCCACATCCCGCCCTCTCACCCTCCCTCCTACAAATAGTGTGCTCCAGCAGAAAGGCTGCTGCTTTCTAGACCAGAGGCAGTGGCTGGAGGGACAGAGCAGAGTCCAGGATGGGGACCTCAGCTGGGGCTGCAGTTGTCCTCTTTCTTGTCCTCTGGCAACCAGCAGATGCCTTCTGGCTTTTCAATGTGCTCTTCCCACCCAGTACCACCCCAGAAGCAGCTCTCTCCAACAACACTCCCCCTGTGGTGCTTGGTAAGTTGGCATGGGGCACATGACAAGGGGGGCAGTGGCAGTCCTGGGGCTGGGGAGGCTAGCTCCCCACTGCAGGCAAAGTGTTGGCATGGTGGGAGGGGTCGGTGGGATAGTTGAGGGCAGTCATTTGTGAACAGCCGGCTGATCAATGTTGGGCAGGCAGGTGTGAGGTTTGAGAAGAGTCTGTGTTGGGTTGCTTTGGCTGCGGTAGTGCCCCTTCCCCTGAGACGTGGATGGCTGAGAAGATGCTAGTCAAAGCAGATGGATCTGTAGGGTCTGATTAAGCTCACAGCTAGGATAGTTCAGGGCCTGATATGCTCAGCTGGGATACCTAGAAGCGGATTGTGCAGTGCTGGGCTGCTGGCCTTTTCTGTGGTACGCATTGGTGTGCAAATAGGTCTGAGATAAAGATGAACGGTGATCAAAGTGATGTCACAGAACCACTGGTGGGATTCCCAGGGCTAGAGGAGAGCCATGCTATTCTTTCCCTTGGAGGAGTACCTTGGAGGAAAGGGCATGTGGGGGACACTTTCCCAGAGGAAAGGCTGCAAGCTCTCCTTTGTCCTCCCAGTATTTGACTGCACCTTGCCCAACACTCCTGTAAGACGCTTTAGGAAGAAGAAGAAGAAGAAGAAGAAGAAGAAGAAGAAGAAGAAGAAGAAGAAGAAGAAGAGTAGTAGTTTGGATTTGATATCCCACTTTATCACTACCCAAAGGAGTCTCAAAACAGCTAACATTCTCCTTTCCCTTCCTCCCCCACAACAAACACTCTGTGAGGTGAGTGGGGCTGAGAGACTTTAAAGAAATGACTAGCCCAAGGTCACCCAGCAGCTGCATGTTGAAGAGTGGAGACGTGAACCCGGTTCACCAGTTTACGAGTCTACCGCTCTTAACCACTACACCACACAGGCCGGTAACCTCTCCATGAGTTCTGCATTGCCCTGCTTCTCCCTCATTGCCCCACATGAAGGAGGCCTTGGCAAGAGCAGGTGGGGCTGGATGAGATGGTCCATCTCATCTGATTGTGCCTGGAGGCAGATCTATCCCGTTTGCATCTAACATGGAAGCTACAAGGTCACCTTGTAGCAACCCATTGACATGCATGCTTAGCAGGGTGATGGTCAAACTGGGAATAAACCTAGCTGCCTAACTGAGCTGAAGTATGGCTGCTGGGTCTTGCTTAGAGTGAGGCAGTGTGCCTTGCCTGGCATCTTCTCCTTCTTGGCCTCCAAGTTAATCAAGCACAAACTCCTGAATGTGTCTAATTCCCCTATCTGAGAGATCCAGCATTGTCATGCTTAGATAGACCAGGGAGAGCTGAGCAGAAGGACATCATGGGGTGGCAAGTTCCTTTCTGTCCATAGGTTGGGGTGGAAGACTGTAGAGTGCTTCATCTTGGGTAGAGGGCGGGACCTAGGAAGGGAATTCTTATTTTATTTTTGCTGGTGGCTCTCTCCCTTCCTCCCACTGCAGAAAAATCAGCACTTCCATAATGCAAGAGTTAAAGGCAGAGGACCTCCTCTGTCCTGTGTTGAATCTGGTGAGCAACCTTTGACTCCTGGCCCAAAAGTGGCCTCTCCATCCCATGTATGTGCACACCCACCCACCCACACCCTGGGAATCTCCTCCTGTCTCTGTCCCTTTTGATCCTGCCTGGAATAATCTTGCATAGTATTTTGTCCCACTGAATGGCCTTGACCGGACTTTGTTTTGTTTGCCTGGCACTCTGAAAAAATGGTCTCTTTGGCCAGAGAGCAAAAGTGATCTAAGTTGGTTCCTGTGTTCCTAGGAAAGGATGAGAAAAAAGGACAAGCACCAGGAGGTGTCTTTAAAGCATTCCCCACCCCCAGTCTCATCACTAGTGTCCTGCCATAAAGAGGTTTTGACAGGGCCAGGACTATGGGATTCAACCCAGCCTTTCCTATATAGCCTTACATACAAATTTAATGCAACTTTTATCATTTTAACTTGTATTCTGTATTTTGTTGCATTACTTTCTACTTTCCCCCTCTGAGGGCAATTCCCTCCTCCATTCTGAACCTAACCCCAGGGCCCTGACAGAATCTTCCTCCCAGATTTGATGCTCTTAACTTACAGAGAGCTTTGTTACATTTGGGGACAGTAAAAATAGCACCCCACACCTACAGCTCAAAGTGGTACAGTCTTCTCTGTTGCACGTGCTGGTGGAGAACATTACTCAAAGTGGCAGAAGCCTGGACTGCACTACTTCTAGCTTCAGGTAGGAATGTTTGCTAGGCCAAAGGCCGAAGGCAGCAACATCCGTCCAATGCTGCCCCCATTCTTTGTGGCTTGAGAGTTTCATTGTTTGCAGGCTTTTCACATATATGTGTGGGAGCTTTCAAAAATATGACACCACCCCCATATGCCCTTAAAGTGGTACAGTATGGAATCATAGAATCATAGAGTTGGAATAGACCACAAGGGCCATCGAGTCCAACCCCCTGCCAAGCAGGAAACACCATCAGAGCACTCCTGACATATGGTTGTCAAGCCTCTGCTTAAAGACCTCCAAAGAAGGAGATTCCACCACACTCCTTGGCAGCAAATTCCACTGTTGAACAGCTCTTACTGTCAGGAAGTTCTTCCTAATGTTTAGGTGGAATCTTCTTTCTTGTAGTTTGGATCCATTGCTCCGTGTCCGCTTCTCTGGAGCAGCAGAAAACAACCTTTCTCCCTCCTCTATATGACATCCTTTTATATATTTGAACATGGCTATCATTTCACCCCTTAACCTCCTCTTCTCCAGGCTAAACATGCCCAGCTCCCTTAGCCGTTCCTCATAAGGCATCGTTTCCAGGCCTTTGACCATTTTGGTTGCCCTCCTCTGGACACGTTCCAGTTTGTCAGTGTCCTTCTTGAACTGTGGTGCCCAGAACTGGACACAGTACTCCAGGTGAGGTCTGACCAGAGCAGAATACAGTGGCACTATTACTTCCCTTGATCTAGATGCTATACTCCTATTGATGGAGCCCAGAATTGCATTGGCTTTTTTAGCTGCCGCGTCACACTGTTGGCTCATGTCAAGTTTGTGGTCAACCAAGACTCCTAGATCCTTTTCACATGTACTGCTCTCAAGCCAGGTGTCCCCCATCTTGTATTTGTGTCTCTCATTTTTTTTGCCCAAGTGCAATACTTTACATTTCTCCCTGTTAAAGTTCATCTTGTTTGTTTTGGCCCAGTTCTCTAATCTGTCAAGGTCGTTTTGAAGTGTGATCCTGTCCTCTGGGGTGTTAGCCACCCCTCCCAGTTTGGTGTCATCTGCAAATTTGATCAGGATGCCCTTGAGTCCATCATCCAAGTCATTGATAAAGATGTTGAATAAGACCGGGCCCAAGACAGAACCCTGTGGCACCCCACTAGTCACTCTTCTCCAGGATGAAGAATATAACTAGGAATATAACTATCTTGTTCCATCTGACGTGTGGACAGCAGGTTCTGAGACTCCAAGTGGATGGCAGGTTCATTAAGGACAAGTATGGGCAAAATCATATTATTGCAACCCCCAGAGGTAAGGGACTCCAGATCCCACCAGAGCACCTGTTTCAGAGCATCTGTGGGAGGACCTTGCCAGGAGTCGAAAACACAAAGCAGCTCCCTTGGACTGAAATCTCACTCTGCCCTTTGGCAGAATCCACTAGGAGACTCTGTGGAAGCCACTCTTGGAGGAAGACAGGCATTCTGACCATGTGGGATCAACAGATATCTTTTTTACATTAAGGGGGCACAGGACCCCCCAAGCACACAAACAGGAGTGATTCCTCTTGCCTTGCTTTTTGCAATAAGCACGTCATCTCACAGGGTAACCTGTGGAAAGACTTAACAGAATAAAGCATTCAACTGATGCTCAGACAGGCTCTTCTTCACCTGTATTTGCTACTTACTCCAGATTGTGCGGTGTACTGTCCTTCAAGACCACTTGGCAGGGCTGCAGCTGCTGGGAATATCCTTACGTGTTAAGTTTTGAAAATAAATTTGGTGGGATTTTATCATATATACAACAACTACATACACACAGGACAAGGTACAGCACAAAATTTGGCTTCCCTAATAGTCTTAAATACTCAGCAATTTAAGTCTCTTCCAGATATGCTGAGCTTTTTTGTAGTTGCACTATTGTTTTTGTTGTATTGCTTTGTTTGACTTACTTAAAAACATATTTTTTGCCATAGCAAAATTATTAATTTTTTTGAAAATAAATAAAAACAATTAAAATCAGTAAACAAGCTGATCTCAAGGTGCAGGCTGGCCACAGGAGGTGACAGAAACTTCCTCAGACCTCAAAGCAACTGGCTTCAGGCCTGCTTGTGCTTCCAGGACCCAGCACGGAGGCAAACTCAAGAATCCCCCTGTCCCAGTCAAAGGCACAGCCCAGAGGCTGAGATTCAGAAGGAATAAAGCAAAGGCTGGGAGGGGCTGGGAACGACCACCACCCTCTTTCCTTGTGGCATTTCCAAGATACCTGAGTGACATGAGTATCCTATAGGCATCGCACCTACCTCACAAAAAGACTCTCAACGGTGTCTTGCTTTTGTTGGGTGCTTTACAGCAGAAGGTGGCCAAAACATTGTACCCCCAGATGCTGTGAGCTGCAACTTCCATAGCCCCTGAGCCTTGGCCGTGCTAGCTGGGGTTGAAGAGTGTTGTAATCCACAACATCTAGAAGGCGCATCATGGGCTGTCCCTGACTAACAAGGACAGGAGCGCCTAGCAAGAAACTCTGCTCACCACACAAGCAAATGGCTGTACATTTTTGCTAGGAAAATGGTTGCCACCTTGTTTTGGTGGCCTAGCTCATGTTCCCAAGGTATAGACAGGTGAAGCTTTGCCCACCATTTATATCCATGATGGGAAAAGCTTCATCAGTTCTAAATTCCCATGCACCAAGAGCAGGGCCTCTAGAAAATATAGCAATTCCCCACCCCACCCCGCTCACATTCTTTCGTTGCTACAAAAGAACTGCAATCTCTCCAGGACTTTTAATCCATTTCACAGGTGGCTTTAGATGCACCACTAAGGCAGGCTACCACTCCTCTTTCTCTGGTCCCTTTCAGTGCCTGGTTGCCTGGGAAACCAACTAGAGGCCAAGCTGGACAAGCCGGATGTGGTGAACTGGATGTGCTACCGCCAGACAGATGACTTCTTCACCATCTGGCTGAACCTCAACATGTTCCTGCCTCTTGGGGTTGACTGTTGGATTGACAATACCAAGTACGTCACTGGTTGAAGCCACTTTATAGCTTGTTATTCTGTGACTCCCTCATGTGAGCAGGGTCTGCGAAAACTGAGCCAAAACAGGGTCAGGGACGCTTCATCCATGGTGGAAGCCAGAAGTATGTAGAAGTACAAAGTAGCACAGGAAGGGGACAGGGACCTGGTGTGCCCCCCCCCAGCTGTCACTGAGCTTCAACTCTCTTCCATCCCAGCAGCCAGCATGGCCAATGATGGAGACTGTAGTCTGACTGTTGGTTGCAAGAAAACAAATAGGTATAAAAAGGGTATTCCTCGATGCCAAGATCCCAACCTGGGGCAAATACTCACCAATGAGAAAACCACAGTCAAGATTTAAAATCACAAAACCAAGTAAAGTGCAAAAATATACACTGTTAGACCTTTAAAATATGGGCCTTGTGAGTTCCCTCTTGTCCTAGCATAGGAAAGACCACATGTTTGGTAAGTTAAAAACTGGTTTACTTTCAAACTCTTCAAAGGTCAGGTTCATGTGCTTTTCTATATATCAGTCAGAAAAGTTGCACAGGCAGTAAAACTTGGCTGTTACAACGTGGTAAAAGTTATTTGTATAGGAACTCAAGAGTTGCTTGTGAGAACCATGCGGTCTGAGCTCGGAGCAACCAGCTCAGACCTCCTCATACGTTGAACTTCTCAGGTAGACTGAAAGGAACAAAGGTTTGATCACCTCGTCCCTTCCAAGGTGAGCTAGGTTGGCAGGACATAGTAATCATTACGATTATTATTTTTTAAGTATTTTCTATGACATTTTAATAGCTAGGAATGAAAATCCCAACATGGTGGTTGTGTTTTGCTTTGCACCTGAATCTGCCTTCTGCCCACAGAGTGATCTACAACAGGACAACTCGGAGGGTGTCCAATGCCCCTGGAGTCCAAATCAGAGTCCCTGGGTTTGGCAAAACCTACACAGTGGAATACCTGGACAGGAGCAAACTGGCTGGTAGGAGGCATTGCTACCTGCAAATCGGTCATCTCTCTGGTGGAGGAAGGAAGTTTGCTGCTTCAGTCTGCTTGGAGTCATCTTGAGCCATGGGCATAGCCAAGGGGTGGCAGGGAGGGAAAGCTGCCCCCCACCAATAAAAATCAATAAAAATACATAGCAAACTGAGGTTCTGCACCCTTAACGAAAGGCCTGCCCCACCCCCAACGAAAATCCTGGCTACACCCATGCCTTGAGCATTGCTAAAGACAGACTTTTCCATAATGGGATTAAAATGAGGGCCCTACATGGCATGTCATAGAGAGCTGCCTTATCTAGCAGCAAGGCCCATTTCCAAGATGCTTCTGCAGTGCTCACAGTGCTCACTTTGCCTTGGGAAGCAAAGGTGGTTTTTCCTCCCCGCCCCAACTTTGGTTAGGGTCATCTTCCTTGCAATATCCTCCCCTGATTGATTCCTGTCCAGTTTGGTTCCGGGATTACTAGCAAACAGATCTTGCTCCTCTTCCCCCTTGGAGTGGCTTTCCTCACTTTCTTTTTACTTACTTAAAAAAAATATATTGTAAAATGCATAGAAAACAATTAGTGAAAATCAGTAATTACCACCCCCAGCTATGACTGGGAACAGACTTATTACTGACTGAATGAAACGTGCCCACTCAAAGCTGCTTCGGAAGTGACATGGGGAAGTTGTTTCTGAGCTAGAGTGCAGGGGCTGACTTAGGTTTGTTGTGGGTTTTTAGGGGGCATCTGATAACTGGGAAAGCCTTCTCTTCCTCCTTGCTCATGATCTTTTGTGGCTTTCCCTCATACGTCTTCTTTGGAAAAGGTATTCTGCGTGTTCCACTCTCAGTTTGTAATGTAGGCAGTGTTTCCCCCCAGGGGGTATTCAAGCGTACACAGTACCAGCACCTCTTCTTCTTCTTTGTTAAAAAGTGTGCCACTTACTCTAACAACTTCACGGTGAATACCGGCACCTATATTTCTAGAAAAAAAGCACTGAATATAGGCATGCAAGAAAGAGGACCTTCCAGAAATTTTTGATGCACCACCCACTCTGCCCAACCATTCCACTGTCCAGAATTTCCTTTTTGTAGGCGTTTACCAGAATACAAGAATCTTTAGCTAGGAAAAAACATGACGGTATTTTTAGTGTTTCAGTATGGTTTCTTTCTTGAAGACATTTTTTTTAAAGGGTGCAATTTCTGCCTTTTCCTGCTTCAACAACAATAAAAAGATGCTCACTCCACAGCTTGGGAAGTGGATATTGCGCCCATACCTGAGGTACCAGAGGGTTTTTTCAGTCGGGGGGGGGGGGTTGGAGTTATATATCGAGGAGTTGGCACCCTTACTCCTGCCTCCTAATGTGCTGGACCCAATGAGGCTTGGAGCAACCCAGGGAGCCATCAGAGCAGGAAGTGGTCCCCTCCAACAGGTCACCTACCCAGCCTTCCTCCCCTTACCCTCCTCCTGTTAATCTCTTCCTCTCTCCTCCTACCTCCAGGATACATGCACACACTGGTGCAGCACCTGGTCAACAATGGCTATGTGCGAGACCAAACCGTGCGCGCCGCCCCCTATGACTGGAGGATTGGGCCCGGTAAGTACAAATGGGTAACTAGGGAGGGGACTGTGAGGAGGACTCAGTGGGTGGGCCAAGGGGTGGGAAGCAGGAATGCTTTCCCCTGAAGCATAATGTTTGACGGACTATTGTATTTTAATATTTTGTTGGAAGCCGCCCAGAGTGGCTGGGGAAACCCAGCCAGATGGGCGGGGTATAAATAATAAATTGTTGTTGTTGTTTGCAACCATGGAATGACAGTGAGGCCAAGGCAAGGAGAGAGGGGTGAAAGCAGCCCTCTTGAGTGGGGGAGTTTAAATGCCCCCCCCCAACACACATACCTGTCGCTGTGTGGCTAAGGCAGCTCTTGGGGAAACAGCACAGAAGGAAAGGGCAACTATTTCCTTCCTTCGCCATCATAACAGCCCTGGTGCAAATCCCGCCTCCCATGGCTGATTTTTTTTATAAAAACAGAATCTTAGAATTGTAGAGTTGGAAGGGACCACAAAGGTCATCCAGTCCAATGTAGGAATCTTTTTGCCCAACGTGGTGCTCAAACCCACAACCCTGTGATGAAGAGTCCCATGTTCTACCCACTGGAAGTCTGTAATGAGGTCTGGTCGTACATTCCACCTCCTCTGGCCGCTCAGCAGAGCGGAGGCTGCTTCAGGTTTGAGGGTCGGAGTCTCCATAATCTGCTTGGAACATACAAGAAAACAATATCTGGTGCTTCTGAAGCACCAGGCTTCCCTGACTAGTGGTCAGAGTTTGCAGACAGGAGAGCATGGCTTCTGGAGGACCTGAGCCTCTGCAGCACCTCATTTTAAAAACACACTGTTCAAGTCACACAACTGGCAAGGACTCGCGAGGAGGCCTTGCGCAAATCTCCACCTCTGACCATCTGTGCATGCAGAATAGCTCGGGTTCAGTCCCCCATGGCAGTGTTTCCAAATAGGGCTGGGAAAAGATGCATCCCAGCCCCATCTGCTGCAATACCATGGGGCAGCCTGGATGGCCACTGGGGTGGCCAGCAAAGCCATGTGGCTGGCCGGATCCAGCAACCCCAACTATGTCTCCACAGATCAGCAAGAGGAATACTTCTGCGACCTGCGCAGCCTTGTGGAGGAAATGCGTAAGACCTACCAGAAGCCTGTCTTCCTCATTGGACACAGCCTGGGAAACCTCAACATCCTCTATTTCCTCCTCCAGCAGTCCCAAGCCTGGAAAAGCCAGAACATCCGGGGCTTCATCTCTCTGGGGGCTCCTTGGGGGGGAGCAGTGAAGCCCATAAGAGTCCTGGCCTCAGGTGAGTTGCTTGCCAGCAGGTGAGGTGGGCCCTCCCCTCCAGAGGGATATCTGGTCCCTCCAGACTAAAAAAAAGGCTGCGTGCACCTCTTATCTGGGTGACCTCCCCTCCTCTTCCACTGTCTGGGGTTGCTGCCAGGCCCCTTGAGGCTCAGGGATGGGGGGTGGAGCTATCAAAATGGGGTGGAGCTTAAATGCACTTTTAAAAAACAAAAATCCTCTCAGGCCTCTAGCACAGATTTACTGTTTTATTGCCTCCTGCTAAACTAATCTAGACATGAGTATCTCGGGGGGCGGGGTGCATCTCCCACTCTTTTTATTATTGCTGCTAAAAAAATGGAGATGTTCCTCTTTGGATTGTGTTGGGATTTCTCAGTGTTTTCCATAAAACTCAGTTGAGCTTTAAAGATGCAGAATGTACACAGCCATAGTCTCTTTTTCCTGCTGTTTTCCAGATGTGTGATGTTCAACTCCAATATACTTTGTTTATTGTGTGGTATGAAACATAAAAAGACTAAAGCTATGTACGCACTATACCTTTAAAGCACATTTTAAGCTCCTTCTTTCCCTCAGAGAATCCTGGGCTCTGTAGTTTGCCCCTCACAGAGTTACAATTCTCAGCAACTTTAACAAACTACAATGCCCAGAATTCTTTGAAGTGGGAAACATGATTTGAATGTGCATTCAAGTCCATTTCCTGAGCTTTCTGGGAGATTGGGTGGAGGTCTATGCCAGTACTGCAGTTGATACCAAGCTGGTCTGCATTTCAGGTGATGAGCAGGGCATCCCCATTATGTCCAGCATCAAATTGCGTGAGGAGAAGCGCATGACCACAGCCAGCCCCTGGATGTTCCCAGACACAATAGCTTGGCCCGAGACCCATGCCTTCATCTCTACCCCCTCCTACAACTACACCTACCGGGACTACCAACGCCTCTTCACTGACATTAACTTTGAGGATGGCTGGTACATGTGGAACGACACCAAGGACCTGCTGAAGGGGCTGCCTGCCCCAGGGGTCGAGGTGTATTGCATCTATGGCACGGGTTTCCCCACTGTAGAAACCTACATTTACAACGACCGCTTCCCCTACGAGGACCCCATTGACTTTGTGTATGGGGATGGGGATAACAGCGTTAGCCGCCGCAGCCTAGAGCTCTGCAAGCGATGGCATGGCCAGCAGGAACAGAAGGTGCACGTGGTGGAGATGCCGGGCGTGGAGCATCTCAACATGATCTTTGACAACCGCACCCTCAACTACATCAATGAAATCCTGCTGGGAAACTTTGGAGAAGCCACAGCTGCAGAAGATGAAGCAGGGAAAGGAGGAAGAGGCTTCTCAGAGACCCAACACAAAGACCAACAGGAGAAATGAAGGCCCTGCGCTGAGGAGATTGGGGTCACTTTATTCCTCCTGCATAGACAGGAAGCAGGATGACTCATGCGTGCCCCCCACCCCCCAAAGTCTACAGTGTTATGTGCAACACAGCTGGATGCAGAGGTGCCTTGCAGGATCCTGCCTCCCCGCTTGCTCTGAGAGGGAAAGACTCCTCCAAATTGCTCCTGCCAACAGCTGCCTGGCGAATTTCCATTGCTGGTGTGATTGTTGGGGCCCCCTAGCATGCTTTCAGTTTGGTAGGCAGGAGAACTAGCCCAGAGCTTTATTTACTCAATGCAAAAAGAAGAAGGAGTCCTGGGGCACCTTGTAGACCAACACATTTTATTATGGCATATGCCTACCTGGGCTGCAGCCCCTTCATTGTATGAATGGAGTTGTGGGTATATCTAGACATACATATCGTCAGACACATATGAAACACAAGAAGTATAGGCTGTATCAATTTTATTAAAGCTTAACAGGGCACCCGAGAAGGGTGGCAGCCAGAAGAAGAGGATGATGAGCTAATGCCAACATGTAAAGGCTTTGCCCAACAGTGGCTTCTGGCTTTGACTGCATCTTCCAGAAAGGGGTGGCAGCAAGAGGAGGGGAGAAAAATCCTCCCCATCTCCTCCAACTGCCCCCCCCCCCCGGAAGACTAAAGACAAAGCTGGAAGCCGCAGTTTTACACAGTCTTTATATCACGTTGGCTTTGGGCTTCTCTCATTCTCTGGTTGCCACTCCTTTCTGGCCTTGGCTCCCCAATGTTGGCTGTGGGGCAGATGGAGGGCAACTGCCCAGGTGCCCTCACCTCTGGCTGCACTGCCAAACATGGTGGTGATGAGGACATCCCTCTTCTTAGAGGACGTCCCTATGCTGTGCAGAACTTGGCCAGCTTCAAGGCCTCTGCCCTGGGCAGCCTCAGCACCCTGATCCCATAGACAAGCTGCATGGCATCAGCAACATGCTTAGCACACCCATGGCCACAGCCACTTCTGCCTGCAGTTTCCTCACTGGCCTGCCCCTCCTAAAGGAAGGGAAGGCCGTGTCTAGGTACCCCAAGCCCCCAACCAAGCTGCCCAGCCGGCCCCCCAACTTATGGTCTGTAGTTATGCACGGTTAATCCTGGAGTGATCCTAGGCTCACCTATCCAGGTAAGGTAGATCCTGGTGAGGAAAAGGGGTGTGGGAGGTTATATGAAGGCAGGGATAATTGTTATAAAGGGAAGGCAGGATTCATTTTAACTAACTCTGTAATCCTGAAAATTTCCAAGAGAGAGCCCAATCACATTAGCAAGATAGGGTAGAACAGCACACTGCCCACGAGTGGAAAATATCTCTCCTTTATTACTTGGCAAGTTGCACAGCTAAGTTCTGCTGCAGTAAACAGGTTGTGTGGTGAATGCGGAGGCTAGGGGCTGGATGCTTCCCCTCTCCATCTCCCAAGCCAACACTGCTTCCAGGAAGGTGCTGTTGGGGAAGGAAGGAAACCCGCATGGACGCTAAAAGTTTTAAGACAACTTTCACAGAGAGAGAAAGTCCCCCCAAAGTGCTCCCAAATATAAAGCCCCCTCACTTGAAATATTTCCCCCTACTCTTGGTTCTCTCTTTGGTAACACCCCTGAATAATTTTAGTCCTCTGTTCCACCAATTCTGTATGGGAATAATAAATGCTGTACTGACCTATGAAGGGCTGTTGAAAGGATTTCTGAGATAATGTTTGTGAAATCTTTATGAATGTATTTTGTTTTTTCTGTCTCATGCCTGACACTGGGGCTTTGGGGATGGAACAATTATTTGTTTTTAATTTAAAGAGGAGAAATGATTTTGGAATGATCACGGCACAGGCATTTTGATACTTTTTTAAAAATTGTTTTTGGTTGCTTGGTGCTGATTTTTATCTTTTCCCTTCTGTGCTTGCTCTGCTTGGTTGCTTCATGTCAGTCAGTCTTTAGGATTCACAGCAGAAACCTATGCATACTTACTCAGAAGTTCATCTCACTATGTTCAGTTGGGCTTACTCAGGATTGCAGACTTAGCTGCATTCCCAGGGTCTCAGTAATCTCAAGATTGAGTATTGGATGTACCTTATCTCTGTCTGTACATATGTTAATGTGTGTACACTGCAAGGTGGTCATTTTGCATACTAAGCTACAATGGCTGGTTTTGAACCATATATTGTAAGGCAATTTTTTCCGACTATAGCTATTACAAATTTTATTTCATTTCATTTATCTGTTGGAGATAAAGGTATTGTACATTATCCCTTCCCTTGCACATTTTTCACTCACGACAATCTGGTGACGTGGGTTAGGTTGAGAGGTTGCAAATGGCTCAAACTTACCTTGTGAACTTTACAAAGAAACTGGAATTTGAACCTGATACCTGAGTGTGTTGCTGTGTGCAATGGGTAGGCAGGGTGGGGAAAACGCTGAGTTTGCACAATGTTCCTTGATGTTTGAACTGGAATGCCTACCTCACAGGGTTCTTGTGAGGATAATTTAGAGAGGGGAATTGTGCCTTGTACACCACTTTGAGTTCCTCAGAGAAAAGGTTGAGGTTTCATGTAATAATACAGTAAAACACCAAGAAATGCCTCTAGGTGCACAAGCATGTTTTTAAAAAGATGCCTAGAAGTGGCGAATATGGGTGAGCACCCAGGCAGAGAAAGGAGGTAGTTCCATAATACAATGAAGCCCACAAACTCTAACATATAAAATAACAACCACTGGAACTGATAAAATACAATGACCAAATGATGGACCACTAGCCATCCAACACCTCGGCAAACAGGTGAATTTTAGGAGGTGCCAGAAACTGGATCAGAGTCATGTCCTGCCTTATTTCCTTCAATTCTCCAAAGGGGTGCAAAGTTGAGAGGATTTGGGAGAACTCTAAGGGGAGCCTAGATACAGCTGCCTAAGCCTCCTGCTTTGGGGTAAATGCAGGGGTGGGTCAGGGACTTGGCAGCCACCTGAAGTTGCCAAGTGGTGACATGGGCCTGGCAGAGAGAGCATGCCTGGAGCCCAGAGCCCACTGGGTCCAGTCCTTGGCCAGGCTCTGACCTCACAACTGGCTTCGGAATTCTGCAGAATGTTTTGTTTCCTAGGAGTCCACCTGAGTTGTTTGATAGGATCCTTGGGTCAGTTGAAAGCCCAGTCATTTGGATCAGTTGAAAGCCCTTCGGATTAGCTGACTTTGTGGACATCTTCGGAGAAACCTTTCTTTGAATAACTGCCTTCATCTGATCCTTTGACACAGTAAAAATCTTTCTCCCTTGGAGAAATTTCTTTGGCTTAGTTGAAGGTCCAGACAACGGTTTTCTAGCCCCATTGCACAATGTGGCGCTGGCTGCATAGAAGGTAAAGTCATAGGCAAGAGGGGAGACATCTTAATGTCTTGTGCCCCTTTCACATGCCCAGGTTTTAAAGATGCTCCTAGATTATTTGAGCTTTCTAAATCCCATGCTGGGTGTTATGTGAGCCAGCAATTTTCCCAGGGAGTTTTCTGATGAATTTTCTTAGTTTCCTTTTTTGTCACCATCCAAATTGCAGCAGAATGACCATCTTCCCCATCCCAAATATTCAGGTGAATGCTCCCCACCCCCATCTTCACCAACCACAAATAGGATGGGGAATTCTGGGAGCTCCTTTTTCACCCAACCCTAAAAAACACACCCTATCTCTGCAGGGCTCACACCTGTACCCTTAGGTGCTCTCTTCCTCAGGTACATTTCCAGGGTCTTGAATTAGTTTCCCAACTCCCATCAGGGCGAGGGGAAAGAGGGGAGTTGGAGTCCCGTAGCAACATCTGGAGGGCACCAGGTTTGGGGAGGCTTGATATAGAAAACATCAGGGTAATTAAGCATTATAACACTGGGTGACTGGCCAGGAGTTTATCCTGACCCTGATCAGGAGTAGCTAGAATGAGCCACTCGCTGTCCAATGTCATCCGTAGGACAGCAGCCCTGGGGATAAGCTCTGTACTATTTGTAAAATGAGAAGCAACTGGCAGTGCCTTTTGTCTGGTTAAAAAGTTGTAGTGACTTGGCACAGAGTTAGTTAGAATAGTTTTTGCTTGAGGAGTGGCGAAATCTTCCCGAAATGTGTGGCTGATGGGCATCTAATCTGCAAGGAGGATGGAGAAGGAAGAGGCCCTCGCTTGCATCTGGAGAGCTTCCTCTTATTTCTTTGTTTCTCTTTCTCTTCCCACATCTACAATATCCACTGCTGGCTGAGGTCATGAAAGCTGTAATAGAGCTCCTCCTGGGAGGCTCCTCAGGTGGGTGAATGGGACGGACCCCCCCTCCCTTTTGTGGTGGCTGCCCTCCTGCTGTGAATTCTTGCAATAGAGGAATATCCAGTTGTGTAGATAGAAAGTGAATATTGGCAGAGAAAAAGAGGAGCCAAGATGAAATCTTTTCTACAGGTGAAACTCGAAAAATTAAATAAAAGCTGAACAGAGGGCTCCAACTCCTTTTAAAAGTTGCAATAGGAAAGGAATAAAAGATGACAAAGGAGGACACTGGAGGTTAAATTACTCTTGCCTTGATGAACATTGCTGCTAAAGATATTACGGGCGTGCAGCTGGTGAAAAAATGGCAGAGAGGAAGAGACTTTGTTTCTTTTTTACTAAGGGACCACAACTCACCTGCCGCTAGAGAGAAGAAATAAATTTAAGCACAGGGTGTTAGAACTGATGGCATTATGTCAGAAGGAATAATTCTGGAACTGCATTGGAAAGAAACTGTCTGGGTGAAGGAGGAGGAGGGGAAGGGGCTGTGTTTATGCTTTTCTGTTTCAACAAGGGATTTACTCACCCCCTCCCAGAACAAGGAGAAATAAAGAATTTGAAGGTAGAGGTGATAGCATTCTTGAAAACAAGAAAGTCTTGGACTTGGTTCGAAAGGAAAAACTGAAAATCAGCAGAGCAATGTAGATGGGGGGGGGGGAACTAACTCAGTGTTTTGAAGGAAGTTTGGTTTAACCCCCCCCCAACTCCCCCATGTGGGATGGTGTCATTGACACTGTTTGCAGGAGGAGAATGCTTTCTGTTCAGTCCGCCAGATGGTTGTCCTTGAAAATAATGGATGGTGAAGTGCAAATGCTGTGGTAAAAATATGGATTTCTACAACAACACAGTTCTGGAGAAGAAATGGACTTGGTGAAAGGAGAACAATGATGGAAAGGATGGATCCAGATTTACATACAAGCAAGATGAAAAGAAAGAAATAATACAGAGACAACAAGTAATGATTTAAGGTAGAGTGGCAAGGGGCAGAGTAACCTCATTTGTTTTGTTTTCATTCTGTTTTGGTTTTTTAAGGGAATTGACAAATAGACAGCTGAGGGAGATGGGATAAGGGAGGACAAAAATGTAAACTAAAAATAAATTTTTAGTTAAATAAATAAAAATAATTAAGATTAGATTCCATCTGAAATGGAATGTGAATTGAAAATAAATAACGTAATATTAAAGCAGTAAATAGGGGACAGAAGGAGCACATTGACGATGGAGAGTGGGAGGTCAACTTAATGGAAAAAATGTATTAAAAATGATGTAATTAGGTACTGATTTGTTAAAAATTTGGAATATTAATAAAAAATATTTGGGGGAAAAGAGTTCTATTTCCCAAAGAAATCCACTCCCCAAAGATGTAATACAAAGGTCATATTATATCACAAAAAGAGGAAATTTGAGCCCCTGACCTGTCAAAGTATCTCTTTCACCTCTGGGGCCAACATTAGTATATCTCTTTGCTATTACAATTAGTGTCTGTTCACATAGTCCTTTATTTATGAGTAGATAGCCCTCTTTAGGTCTTTTGTTAGGTCTAGTATTGCCCTTTGGCAGTTTGCTGGAAAGGTCAAGAATGTGCTGTCACACTCAGGGGCTGTTCTTGTCATGTATTTTGTGCTTTTATATTGCATTTTTATGTAGTCAGTGCCCTGAGATCTGTGGATTAAGGGTAGTATACACCTTTAAGAAATACATTTAATAATACCAACTTCCACAAGGTGCGTGTCTCTGCTTTTCCCCATGCTGTTTGATGGATGAGATGTCGGCAAGCTGTTCTGCAGAGCCAAGCCTGCTACTTACACAGTTTTTCCTATAGAGGCTGCTGTTTCCTACGGGGATTTAAAATTTAAAGGACAGCTGGCATTTTATCAGTAGCACTTTCTTTGTCGTATGGGATTGTTTGTGCTTCTGTATCCTTGTAAACATGCACTTATCCACATGTGTTATATTCATGACACAGGGTTAATGAATGCCTGCCTTAAGCATTCTATGGCTTGGATTGCTGTAAACAGTTTCAATGAATGTGTGTGTGTGTGCATGCACACGCATGTGTATGAGACAATGCAGTATAAAAATAATTTTATGAATGAATGAATGACGTTTCCCTCTCTTTTCTCTTCCTTTCAGCCCACAGGGTGCCTGGAAGACCCTGAGGGCAAGCAGCTCCTCCCAACACCCTCTCCTTCCCAGGTCCTCCCACAAGGGAAGGTGGCAGCTAACACCAAAGCCCCCCAGGGGAGAAGAGGGCAGCTTCCACCAGGAGCACCCCCACAAGTGAAGGAGCAGCTCTCATATCACCCCAATAGAAAGGGCAGCCCCTAAACCTTCCTCAAACCAAGAGAAGGGAGCAGCCTGCTCCCACTCCCTCCAACCCAAGATAGGGGGCAGCCCCACCCTTTCTGCAAGAGAAGGGGCCACCCCACCCTTCCAAACCTTCCTTATCCCAAGAGTGGGGCAGCACCACCCCAGTCTGTCTGTGAGCACTTAGAAAAGGATGCTGTGATTACTAAGGCCCAGCATGGGTTTCTCAAAGACAAGTCATGCCAGACAAATCTTGTTTCTCTTTTTGACTGAGTTACAAGCTTGGTGGATCAGGGGAATGCTGTGGACGTAGTGTATCCTGATTTCAGTCTATCTTAGTTCCTCCCTGGCAGGGCCTTGCATATTGAGGAGCATTCCTTCACATTAGCTGCCACCTGCCTAAGCCCAACTTGGCCACTTCACTGCCTTGTGAGAAGGAGGCTGATGGAACATTAGCAGCATACCAGCCTCACTCCTGAGTCCCCCAACTGTGCCTCTCTGCCAGAGGTCTGAGCTGCTGCCTGCAGGCAACACAGCCTTCTCTACCCCTCCTCAGGTGGCGTGGAGGAAGGGGCCTTTCCACAGTCAGCCCCAGTCCACTCAGCTCCTATACATGGAATTTTTTGGGGGGGGGGCTGGCCTCTGACAGCAAATGCTTTGGGGGCTGACTCTACAGGCAAGTCTGCTCTTTTACCCATAATATTTATTTATTTATTGAATTTCTATGCCATTCTTCCTCTGAGGATCTCAGGACAGTGTACAATATAAAAACACAAATATACATAACATAAATACATAATAAAATGGCAAACGTTTGTTAAAATTAGCTGTAAAAGCTAATTTTTAAGAGAACACACTGCCAAACATTTGTGATATGTCAGCTGGGGCAGCCCCTGCTTTGCACTTGGGGTCAGGCCTTTGCAGGGACTAATTCTGAAAGGGTGTGAGGGAATTAGTTTTTTCTGTGTTTAGATTTGCTGCTGAAATTGCACTTCAAGGCAGACAGAAAAAACAGCTTATGGCTATGCTTTAGGGCAAAACCTGATCAAAAACCATGACAGTTTAAAACTAAACGGTGGAATGACCTGCAATGGCAGAAGTGAAAGCAGCTTCTTGTTGCTATTTATTGCTGTAGCTTAATGCCGCCGCCCGCCTCCCGCAGATCAGCTGAGAGCTGCTGAGAAGTGCCTTGGGTCTAATCCTCGCCAGCCGACCCTTCCAGCCTTGGCAAGGAAGGCACCAGAGAGCGCAGGCGCACTGAGGCAATGCAGAAGAGATCTGGACCATTACCTGCCCTGTCCCAGGCAGACAGAAGAAGAAAGCCTTTGTGCCCTCCGCGCCCGCTTGAAGAAAGCCGAGTTGATTTAAGCGCCTGGGTTTCAGTGGGTCAATGGATTAAACGGCCTATTTATCTATTCATTTAAAATGTTTAAAGCTGGCGCATCACCCCTGAACACAATTTATTTTTAAAAAAAATACCCAGCCATGAAACGCTCCCAAAAAGGAAAGGAGAAGCGAAACGAGGCGTTGGAGTGGGAGTGGGAGGAAGAGGGACGGGGACCCGGGACCCCCCACTCCACCCACTCCACGGGCCGGCAGCTGCTGGGAGACAAAGGCGCACCGATGCCACCAGGTGATGCGCGCAATGGGGGGACTGGAGAGGCGGCCCTCCTTTTGGGTCCCTGGGGAGGGGGCAGAGCGCGCTTACCCGCCCCTTGCGACACGCCCAAGGCTTTCCCCCAAGCGCTGCCCTGGGCGGCCCTCCAAGGGCTTCCCGCAGCCTCGAGGGGAAGGGAGACGGCAGCGCCTGCAGCCCCAGCCCGGTTGGGCTTCCGAAGGGCGGCGGACTCATCCTGGTCCGGAGCGGGAGCCGCCCCGGCGCCGCCGCTTCTTCGGGGGTCGCTGGAGCCCGCCTGCCCGGGGAGGGGTCTGGCTGCGCGGGCGCGCCTCCCTCCGCAGCGCCACTGAGCATGCTCGAAGCCCTTGTCTGTCGGTCTGTCTCTCCCCACCCCGTCGTCGCCGCCCGCCCCGCAGACCCTTCCGCGCCTCCTCCGCCGCACCGACCAAGCGGGCCGAGGAGGAGGAGGAGGGAGCGCAGCCGGGTAGGTACCGGGGCGGCTACGGTGGGGTGGAGGAAGGGAACCCCCGGCGGGCGGGATCTCTGGCGGCGGGGCGGGGTTCCCAAGGACAAAAGGCGGTTCGGGGGCTCGCTTTCCTTGGATAGCTGCGGGCCCACAAAGAGATCCCCTGCAAAGAAGTCCCCAGGAGCCCCCCAGTGATCCTAACAACAGCCCTGCGAGGAGGGTCGGGCGCAGACAGAGCAGCTGGCCCAAGTCCACCTAGCGACCCACGTGCCTATTGCTGAGCAAGGCGTCTGAACCCGGTTTCTCTCCCCCCGGACCCCCGTCTGACTCTCGGGGCCTTGCTGAAATCCTGATCTTCAGGATCTCCCCAAAGGCAGCTTCAGCTCCGGGGTGTCGCCGGGCTTTTGTTTCTGCGTGGGGTCTTCCTGCAGGTGCTGCTATCCAGCTGCGGAGAATGTGTGGGAAACCCAACCTCCAGGATCTATTGTGTGATGGGGGGGAGCGTGAAATCTCGTGGTCCTGTCTGGTTGAACGGGAGGCTGACGGTGGATTCAGGGATCCCTCAGGCATGGAAACCTCACTAACAGTAGCCTCAAGGACCCTTGGTTTACATGCTCTTTCCTACCCGGCACAGAGAATAACGTCTGGCCTCCTTCATATCATAGACTAAGTCCTGACTGCCTGCCTGTCTGTCTCCTTGGAGATGCCCCAGCAGCTGTCCCAGCCCAAAGTGCTCCTTTTGGAGCACCCTCCAATCACCTGCTTCCCCTACTTGGAGAAGAGGAGCCCTGGATTCCTGTTGAGATGCAAGGACAAGCAAACATCAGCTTGCTTATTTGCTCTGCCATAAATACTGTAAGGGGAGCAGATTTGGCAAGAGCCACCTTTGGGTCATGCTGGGCAAACCTGCGCCCGTTGAGCCCCTGCAATTTCTGTGGTCCCCAGGCCATTCGCAGAGCTGATGGGGCTCAGCCTGGATGGGGCAGCTTCCCTTCCCTTGCTCCAGGGATGCTTCCTACATACAGTTGCATTCCTAGGCTCCTTGTGCCCTTGGCAAAGAGCTGAATCGCCATCTCCTCCCTGCTCCCTGCTCCCTGCTCCCTGCTCCCTTCAGAAATGCTTGAAGGTAGACTCTGCCTTCAGTTGTGGAATTGCACAGATGGTGCAAGTGGTGTGAGTTTGCTGTGCTGTGCTGGGGTTTCCACTAGTCCTCCTGCCCCCCCCCCACTTCCCTGCTTGCCTCCTGTCCATTATGATGACATAAGAATCTCCTCTCTGGATCAGGCCAAGGCCTGCCCCAGCCAGTATTCTGTCTCCCAGAGCAGCCAGCCAGCCAAGTCTGCCTTTGAGAAGCTCAGGAGCAGCTAGCCCCTAAGATCTGAGGTATATTGCTCATGGACATGGAGACTCCGTCCTTAGCTGTCCTGTTGAATAGTGGCTACTAGACCTGCCCATTCTGCCCTTTGACTTCACCCCTTGTCAGCCAGCTCTTTAAAGGTCCCTCTGGCTAGCCAGGTGCTCCTGGGAACCAGGGCTCAGAGATCCATTTTTGCTTTTTGCTCAATGGGGATTCCTTAAATCAGTTCCCTGTTGCATGCAGAAATCCTTCTTCCTCTTTCTCTCTACCATGGCCAAACATGCTCAGGGTGGGTGGCGGCAGGCTCAGGGGCAGAGCACACAGTTGCCTTTCAGAAGGACCCTAGAAGCATCTTCAGATGGGAAGTATTAGTGGATCCTGACAGCTAAGCGCTGTAGCCAGTGTTAGTTCTACTCTGAGTAGAGTTTAGGGGGAGGAAGCCCAAAGCCAGGGCAGAAACTTAGAGCCCATTTTTAGTGCCAATAACCTGGCCATAAAACATGCAAAGTAGTCACTACAAGGGTGACTGAACACACACTGAGAGTCTCCTCCTGCTCCTCCTCACTGAGTAATGGCAGCCAAGCTTAGCACATCAGACTTTAGAAAGGACCTGTGGTCCATGTTTTCAGATAATGCAAAGCCTGTGGGGGTGCTTACTGGGTCACCACCCAGAGCTGCCTCTTGCGAGGAGAACAGGCAAAAAGAGAGATGTTGCTGTCAGCAGCAGCAGCAGCAGCAGCACCCTTCCGCCCCGCAGCTCGTGAAGTACGTGAGAGCAGACTTGCTGGCTCAGGTCGATGGTAGACATTCTAGTCTGGCATCCTGTCTTTACAGTGGCCATCCAGTTGCCCCAAAGGGAAGAAACCCACAAGCAGGACCTGAGCACAATATCTGCACTCTCCTCTTCTGCAGTATTCAGAGGCATTACTGAGTCTGTCCAGGGAGGCAGGGCAGAGCCATTGTGGCTGTTGGCAGCCTTCTCCTGAATGAATCTGTCCAATCCTTTTTTTTAAAACCATTGAAGTTGGTGGCCGTTGCTGTGGGAGTGAGTTCCATCATTTTGCCCTGTTCTGCCTGAAGAAGTCCTTTCTTCTGACCGTCTGAAATCTTCCAACATTCAGCTTCATTGGAAGCCCATGGGGTCTGGTCTTAGGAGAGAAGGAGGAAAGCTTTTCTCTGTCCACTCTCCATGCCTTGCCTCATTCTAGAAACTTTGACCATGTCATTTCTTTTTCACCTTCTCTCTAAACTAAAAAGCCTCAGATGTGGCAAACTTTCCTCATAGCGGAGTCACTCCATTCCGTTATAATTTTGGATGCCCTTTTCAAATTCTACAATATTCTTTTTGAAATGAGGTAGCCAGAAATGGGCACATTCTTCCATGTGAAGTTGCAACATAGATTTGTATAATGGCACTACAATATTAGCAGCTATATTTTCAATTCCTTTCCTAATGATCCCTAGCATGAAATTTGTGTTTTTCACAGCTGCTGCACACTGGGTCAACATGTTCACTGAGCTATCTGTTATGACCCCAAGGTCTCAGACCCCATGAGTGCACTTGTGAAATCAACAGTCTTTTTGCCCCAACTTTCATCACTTTGCACTTGCTTTCACTTGCAACTGCATTAGCTGTTTTACAGCCCATTCATTCAGTTTGCAGAGGTCCTTGTGGAGCTCTTCAAATTCTCTTTTGGTTTTAACGACCCTGATCAAACTTAGCTACCCATTATTTTGTGGAGAAGGGAATCTTAGCCTGAAGCCTGTGCCTCCTTTTCTTTGCTGCCAGGGCTTCCTCCGAGCAAAGAATCCTCCGAGCTGGCCTGATGACATCCCCTCAGAGGGTTGCCCCCAAACAAGATGGTGCTGGACTCGGGTCGGCAGTCCTTTCGGCGGCGGGAACAGCAGCCTGATGTCTTTGGTGCTGGCCTGCAGCAGCGGAGAAGCGGGAAGAAGGAGGCCTCTCGTCCCTATGAGGGGCTGCGGGTGCCTCCCTTCTTCTCTCCTTCCCTTTCTCTGGATTCAGACTCCTCCAGCCCGGGCCAGCGGGCGCCCCCCAAGACCAAGTGCCTCCAGAACCCAGAGCCCCAAGTGCCGCCCCCCGTGGGCCTCTGCCCTGCCTTCCAGAATCCCTGCAGCTGGATGCGCCGGAGCGAGAGCATCTGCGCAGTGAACCGGAGGGACCGCGCGCGGGGGCAGATCCGCAGTGCCGCCTCCCTGCCTCACCTCCCCAAAGCCAAGGCGGACAGGTGCATCGGGGCCAAGAGGAAAAGTCCCTGCCTGCTGGTGGCCCTGCGGCCGGTGAACGTTGACAAAGAGAGGGAGAAGTTCTTTGGGGCCTGCTACGCCTACAACCCCCAGTTTGAATACGCAGAGCCTGTCCCTGAAGCCGTGTTGGAGAAATACAAAGAGGCCTCTGGGCAGTTTATTTCACAGGTAAGAAAAGTTTCCTCTGCTCCTTCTGTCTCTGCCATTTTCTTCCAAATGGCTGTCCCTCCCTCCACAACCCTTTCCCTCTGCTCTCCCGCGAGGAGACTGAGCCAGCAAGTCTCTGCCTCCCAGAGGGAGGAAAGATGCTTTGGGTCTCAGCAGCAGGAGTGCAGCTGCACCCATCCTGGCATTATACTGTGTGCATCAGTAATCCTCACAATAACCCTGTAAGGAGCAGGGGGGCAAAATGTTTTGCAGAATCTAGAGGCTCACCGACTTTGCTAGATTCTAGTTTGGCAAGGGGGTCCAAAGAAACTGAGTCAGGCCACTGGAGGGAGAGAGCCTGCTCTGATCTTGGCACACATGAGCACATGCCCAGTCACTCCCCCAACATCCAGGCAGTGCTTTACTATGGGATGCCAGGACTCAGGGATCTAAGAGGGTGAAGATTGAAGCTTGGAAATCAGATGCTTCTTTCAGCAGCCCAGCAGCTCAGACTGGAGGGCTGAGACTAAGGGAATGATGGCAGTTTGAATTGGGTCTTCTGCTCACAGCTGGTGCTACCCTGTTTTCGGCTGAGCAATCTTTCTACTTCTTCTTTCTGTGGTGGTGTTAGAACTTTTGAGTCCTCTTGTTAATTCTCACAACAGTCCTCTGAGGGAAGTTGTCCACAGTCGTCTTTTGCGGAGGGGAGCTGAAAGACATTTGCCAGGCTAGAATAAAACTTGACCAGCTCCTTCAGCTGCCAGACTTTGAGGAATCACAGAGGCTTGCTGCCTCTGGTTAGCCAGGTCTGCCTGCTGTGGAGCAACATGGCCTCAGTTCTCTGTGTTGATGGCTGGGCTGCTTAGGGCTTCTTAGCTGAGGCAGAGGAAGGGGTGATCTCATGATGGCAACCACCAGTCTTTCATGCTCTTCAGTTGGTCTATTTGGTCTACAGGTCATAAATATCCAAGATAGTCTCTGGTTATCCAGGGAAATACATAATGGAGAAAAAGGGAAAACACATGCATACAGATTGTGCCTTTTAAAATAAGCTACAGGAACAATGGAATCACTAATGGACAGACACCTATTATTCAACTTGCTTTAGTTTTAATTTCTACAAAGTTAAAAAGTAGAATGAATCCAGGTTGCCATCATCTGAAGGACACCTTCAACTAGCTTGCGTTGGACCTCCTTTAATATTATGCATTAATCTTGAATATATCAGGTGTACTCTCTTCAGGTGTGGGTGGGGAGTTCTTTCTTTGTATCTGGTAGCCAAAAAACATTTTTAAAACGTTGTTGTTATTTTAAATAGAAAAAGCAGACAGTTGTGGGTTGAAACTCACTTGCTGTGTGTGTTTCAGGCTATTGGAATCATTGATGCTGTGCTGGAGAAATATAGCACCTACGAGAACTTTGAGGCATCCAACGGAGGGAAGTTGCTCAGCAAATGCCAGATCTGGTCCATTGTCAGGAAGTACATGCAGAAGGAAGGATGCTCTGGAGAGGTGAGTCCAATGCTGGCAAAAGACCTTCTGCATGATCCCAGGGAGGCACCCTGACAGCCTTTTGCGCAGTGCCCTTGGAAACCCCAAAATCCTTCCTGCCCCAGGCAGTAATTGCTTGGGGTTGCATCCAGCCGGGATGGTGAGGGTGGGAAGCCACATCTGGGACTAGCCCTGGACTCTCCCCTAGAGACTGCATGGACTGACTGGAGTCCTGCCAGGAAGGGAAGCTGCATGGGAGCTCTGCGCTGCTCCTTGCCTGACCTCCCTCCCAAGAGCTGTGCTGGGTTTCCTAAGCAGGCTCAGAATTTTGGGGGATAAATGCTGGGATGGTCTTGGTTGTCACATGCATGGATGGATGGATGGCCTGTGGTTTCCCTCTTCGGTTTCAAAGCTTCTTCTCCATCCTGGGCCCTGTGATGGGAACTCCCTCACAGCTCAATTCAGAGTGTAAATACAGGCCCTGCTCCCCAATCTTCTTCTAGGTGGTGGTTCAGCTGACCGAGGACCTGCTCTCTCAGGCAGTGATGATGGTGGAAAACAGCCGCCCAACATTAGCCATCAACCTTTCAGGGGCTCGTCAGAACTGGCTGGAGGGCATGTTGCGCCATGAAATAGGTCAGGATCCGTGAAGAAGGAGCAAAGTTCCGGGACATTCCCCAACCCTCTGTGCCCTGGAAGGGCATTAAAGGAGCACGGGGTGGGAGGAGAGTGGAGAATGGTCTGCCAGGAGTTGGGACACCAGTTTTTCTTCCAAGGGAAGGATGTACCAGCTGGACTACCCAGCCCTGAACTCTGGCTGGTTTCTGGAGAGGGTTAATAATTCTGTTTGGTGCCACAGAGACCCAGAACTCTGAAGAGCAGGAGGGTCTGGGTGCTGACTGGCAGGGGCCTAGTTGTCAAATGCTGTCTGGCTGTGAAAATCAAGGGAAGGCTCATGTCTAATACAAGTTCCATTATGGTACCATTGCTATATCAGAACAGATTTCAGCCTCATCAGACTGAAAGAAGCTGCTTAATAATAAGTCGGGCTTTATCTTGTTTAATGAACTATCAGGGACCGTGCTGAGGAGGGATGTTGAAAGCTACCACCTCCACCTGCTCCTGCTCCAGATTCTTTCCAGGAGCAGGAGGACCGATAGATTTGGAACAGTGGTTTGCAGAGGGACATAGTTCAGAAGGCAGAAGCTAGGAAATACTGTACGGGGAACAGCTAGGAGAAGAAACACTGGAAGAGACAGGGTTAACAGATTCACAGGCTCTGGACAGCATTCCTCCGCCCAGCCCAAGGTCGAAAAGAGCTCAGAAAGTCTCAGAACAGAAAGCTCAGAGGGCACAAGCTCAGATTACAAGACGTAGGAGTGACATAGATTAATAGGGATGGAGGGGGTGTAAGCCTTAATTAGGAGCACCGCCATTCTGGGTTGACGCTTTCTTTTGTCCTTCGCTGTGTTTATTAAAGAAACTAACTGGTAAGAATTCATTTCATTTGATCTCCTCATTTATGGCCACGGAGAAGCTGATTCCCTGAAGCCTGACATAACACATTTTTAAGTGATTCATTTCATGGTTTTCAACTTTTCCAAGTTTTAAGGCTTTCTAATTTTTTGAGTTGTCATCCGATGCCGTAAAGGCATCAGGTGATGGGCAGGGAGTGGTCCCACCCACCTGATAGTTCCCTACCCTGGACATGCAGCCTAAAACCCAGGACGTGAGTCCTCTTTAGCACTGCGATTCATTGACCCAGTGAAGGACTGGGAAGTGGGGTGGGGGGAAAGCTGAAGCAAGCCAGTTGTGAAGGAGGAGGAGTGATGGGGAAATGCCTCTCCTCTGCCTTAGGCACCCACTACATCCGCGGGGTCAACAATGCCCACCAGCCGTGGCACAGCTCAGAAGGCCGCCAGCACTACGGCCTGAAGCCGGCGAATCCCACTGAGGAAGGCCTGGCCAGCCTGCACAGCGTCCTCTTCCGCAAGCAGCCCTTCCTGTGGAGGGCAGCCCTTCTCTACTACACTGTCTACCGGGCCAGCCACATGTCCTTCTGCGAGCTCTTCCATGACCTGGAGCGCTACGTGCAGGACCCTGGGGTGCGCTGGGAATACTGTGTGCGGGCCAAGAGAGGCCAGACAGACACTTCCGAGCCAGGTAAGGGCCTTCGCATGGCGTGAGGATGCTCAGTACAGTGGTACCTCGCAAGACGAATGCCTCGCAAGACGGAAAACTCGCAAGACGAAAGGGTTTTTTGTTTTTTGAGTTGCTTCGCAAGACGATTTTCCCTATGGGCTTGCTTCGCAAGACGGAAACGTCTTGCAAGTTTGTTTCCTTTTTCTTAACACCGTTAATACAGTTGCGACTTGACTTCGAGGAGCAACTCATAGAACGCGGTGTGGTAGCCTTTTTAGAGGTTTTTGAAGACTTTGGGGATTTTTGAAGCTTTTCCGAAACCTTTCCGAAACCGTGCTTCGCAAGACGAAAAAACTCGCAGAACGAATTAATTTCGTCTTGCGAGGCACCACTGTATTGGAGAGATGCAAATGTTCCCAGCCCTCAGGGGTCTGGAGGTTGGCCACTTGAGCAGCATTTGCTGAAATTCCGATTTAGGACCCCCTTGCTCAGTCCCCACCCTCCCACCCTTCACCATCATAAGAATGGCTGCCTGGGGGGGGTGTATAGGTGACCTGCAAAGGACAGCTCCACTCCTGGGCACTGATGTGCAGCAGGGCTGGTGCTGGGGGCTCTCCTGATTGATGGTGCCCTTCAGAATTAGATTCTGATACCCTGCAGAACACTAAAAAGAAGAAAATCCCAAAAGCACAAGGTGACTTCCTGCAAACCTCCACCCTTCCAGCCCTCAGGAAGTTCCCTGATTTTGGCAGTATTTGAATTTCTTGCCAGTATTTGGACGTCACTTTGAAAGGAAAAGCCTACCCAAAGTGTCCTGCTTATGCTGGATGTGTCAGTGGTTTTTCTCTTTCAGGGTGTTTCAGTAAAGATCAAGTGTACCTGGATGGAATTCTCCGGATCCTGAGACATCGACAAACCATCAACTTCCAGCTGCTGGCTGCCCTGGGGAAGGTAACAGCTCTGCCTGCTCTGTGGTCTTTCCCCCTCACCCCCCATGTGTGTGTATTGTGGGGGGCAGGTACCTACACCTCCTCCATCTCATAGCCAAGAGGGCTTTCTTTGGCTTGGCTTCTGGTGTTTGCTCCAGTTGGAGGCAGGTGGATAGAGCAGGAAGAGACCAAGAAGGGAGGGAGGACAGCACAGTTGTCTAACAGTCCTCGACTAAGAAAACCCGATTTTTCCATCCAAGTGAGGCCCTCCAGTTCATCTTGATCTTCCTCCAAAGGGCATAGAATGTCTATTCTCTCCCCGCTCCCCCTTTATCATTGTAACAAAATGGCTGTTTTTAACCCAAGAGGCCCTAGGGAGTTCTGATTGTGAATCTCCCACAATGCATCTGGTTTGGCCCTCAGTAGGAGTCTCCACCAGACTGGCTCTCAGGTGAGGTAAATTTGGTCTGTTACACCAAGCTCTCTGGTCTTGCAGTGAGGATGATGATGTTTTTTGTACCTCACCCATCTGACTGGGTTGCCCCAGCCACTCTGGGTGGGTGGCTTCCAGCAAGAAGACTGAAACCTCATCTTTGAATGAGTTGCTAACTTTCAGTTGCTCTTTTTTTTATAAATAAATAAATTCAGGTCTCCTACGAAGATGTGAGTAATCTTCAGAAATACGGGGTGCTGGAGAAGGCTCGAATCCCTCACTTCATGCAGGATCTAGAGAGGTACATGCAGCAGCTCAACCACATTGTCGCAACCAACTGTCTCAGTGACGAGGAACTGGAACAGCTGCTGCCAGAATGAGCCGGCCTTTGAGGGGGAAGAGGGAGGGAGGGAGAGGGCTATGGCTCCTCCAGCCTTTGCTGCTGTCACCCAAGACAGGCTGTGCTGTAATCATGAACAGGCCCTTTGGGGGTCTTCAAAGAAGTTGTTGTGTCAGATTGTGGTCCTGCTGAAAACAGTTTACTGGCTTACAGCCTACTATTTATTCTTTATTTATTGGGGTCTCTGGTTGAATATTAGGTGAATGAAGACTGGAATGAGGCAGTCTTCCAGCTATTCAAGGAGAAACCTTTGCAGGTGGTCTGCTGAGTGTTCCAATCTGGAGCCATTTAAAGTAATTTCAAAATGTCTCAAGATACATGGAATGTGGCATGTTCCCCTTCTGCGGAGCAGGCTGGCAGTCATCACTTTTGACCCTGCTAAAACAAAAAAGGCAATTCTAAGGGAGGTTGACTATCCTGTGCTTGCACAAGCCGGTGTGTTTGGTTCACCAGTTCAACCCTTTGACTGAGAGAGCAGGCGCAGAGGTCACCAGCCACCGCAAGAACATGTCTTCCAGGGTTTGGCCGCCAAGAATTAGATACAGAACCTAATTTACGCAAAGTTAGAAAATGTCTTCAGGTGTGTTTCATATCCATCTCAGTCAGCTTGCAGCTTTTCAGAAAAACTTGCTTTGTTGCATCAGAGAGAGATTCTTTCTCTCTTGGCCAGCATCTTTTGCTTCCAACCAGCCAGATGCCTTGGGAGCTCACAAGCCAGGCAATGAGCTGCACTCGACATCTCCTGAATTACTTTGAATGCAGCAGGACTCCACAGCCTTGAATGCAGGAAGCTGCTTTCTCTGAAAGACCTGCTGGTCCATGAGTAGACGCAAGTAGCTCCGTCTAGTCCTTTGACAAGTTTTTGTCCAGTGTAAGCAGTTGTCTGTAGTTGGCATGTGCAGTGTGACGGGTGCTCTGGGGTTGCTTCAGCTGTGTTTTTGACAACCAAACATGTTTGTGCCCAAGGATTTGGGGGGAGGTGCAGAGAGAGACCAGTGGCCACCCTGAGGCAGGAGGGAGGTGTGGGAGGGCAGGTAGCTTTAGCTTAGAAAAGGAAGTGTTTGATAAGCAAGGGCAGGTCCTTCATAAATGGAGCCAAGGACCTTGGTAGTGTTTCTCAAGCAAATAAAATGGGAGAATCTGAGGGAGCAAAGGTGCACAGGGGCCACCTTGCGTGTCAAGTCTGAAGCTGTTGCTTTAACAGTCTCTTCTGGCATTGATAATATAAATTCATATTAAAACAACCCCTTCCATCCTGCGATGCTACCTCAACTGGGGGGTGATGTTACCTGTGCTTCTACACTGTTTGTCAAAGCCATTTCCACTGCTGGGCTCCTTGGTGTAAAACGGATTTTGCTCCATTCAATAAAGACTCTCCTCTGCTTTTGTTGTGCTTAGCTGGGGAGGTTGGCAGAAATCTTCATGCACTGCCAAGCTCAAATCCTTGCTCAGACTGAAGTGGGAGGGTAACCTTTTTGCTCTCTGAATACTTCAGAAAGAAGTCACATGTGCCCGCCCCCCGCCTTGACTAATGAGAAGGGGCATCTCCCACCACACCCCATGCCATTCCCTTCACCAGTTTCTTCTAGGCCTCCAGTAAGCAAACAACAGTCATGAACCTACAGATGGTACAACCCACCCCTTTCAATGTAAAGGGTCTTGGGCAATCCTGACCCCTGGTATCAAATCCTTCCTACCCATGTAGATTTCACCCACCAGGCTGCCTCTGCAACTGCATTAATCCGAAGGCTAAACAGGAGCCATAGCCATAGCCATCTCCATAAAATGTGGCAGGATGTGTCAATGCAGATGCAGGATATCAGATACTGGCTATCATGTGCCCTTTTTGCCAAGGCTCTGGAAAACACACCAATCTATCTACAGCTGCCTGTCCTCTTTCATAACGGACAAAATCTCCTTCTAAGTGCCCTCCCATTTCCTAAAAGATGGAAGCACGTTTATAAAATAGGATTTTACTTGGTTGCAGGATTTTTTCCCCACCTTGTTTTCTAAGCCACCCAAAAAGAGTAAGTTTTGTCTATGGGAATGTTTCTAAACCAGAAACATTCAGACCTTTATAAAATATTCAGCTTTGTAAGAGTGGTATTTTGATGTCCAGTCCTCAATTTATACTATATAAACATGTTCCTCAGTTTTCATGATTTACTTTTCAGATTCACGTGTGTTTCTAATCCAATACTTTTAGACAAACTTAAGTAGGGAAAAGGGTATTGTCTTTATTTAAAAACAAAACAATCACAATTATTTTATTCACATACAGGTACAAGCTTTTAACAGCATCTCCTGCTTGTTCCCACCCCAACCCCACCCAGCCTGCATTATCAGGGGCGCCCAGACAAACACTGATTCACCACTTCCAACAGGTGGTTGTTTTCCAAGGCAGCCGCCACTCTCTCTTTGTCAGCCAGTTGCTTGTTTACTGTGAAAAAGAACCCCACAAGAGGAGTTAGTGAAGACATCCATCCATCATCCTCTGCTGTATAGCTCAAGGGCTAGGACCCCACCAAAAAAATTCCAAGTGGTGTTTGTACTCTTCCCTTCCAGCTTTGCTTCATAACAAATATAGAAGGGAATGTAAGTGACTTATTCTGAGGGGTATTTTGTGGTGAATTTCAAACGTACCTGCATGCTCTGAGGCATGTGTTCCAGGGGTTATGTGGACATCCACCTGGGAGGAAGAAAAGAAGAAGCATCATTTGTGTCACCAAATAATGTTCCCCCAGGTTGAACCAACTGAAGGAATAATAAAATTATACCTCGCTAATCCAATTTTACCTTAATTTAATTTGGTTGCTCAGATACACACCATCACCAGTCCCCTCCCTTCCATTCTGTGTCTCATTAGTGAGGATGTGCTGTCATTTTGTCAGTTTCTTTGTTTCTAATTCCAACCCAAGAATTCTTCTAGTGGGATAAATACTCTGGCTGGGCAGAGTGCCTTGATAAAAAGCTTTGGAATGCCCCACCACCATTGGATATGAAGAGGCCACCAGGGAGCAGGAGTGGGAGGGGCTCAAACAACTGAAAGAAGGCATCTGATCAGTGGCGGGCAGCCAGGGGCCCATTTCCTTATTGCTTTGAAAAAATGGCACTTGGTTTCCAGCATGTCAAATTCCAAAAATCAGCATGGGCTGCATGGGATCCTGCAACTGGTAGCCTCAGGTGCTTTAATAGAAACGAAGGGGAGAAGGAAAGCCCACATATCCCTTTGATGCCTAGCCTGTCAAGTGCCAAGATGAGTCAGAACTTCTGAAAATGGGAATCACTGGAAGCAAGTAAGGAGGAAATCCATGCTGCTTTCCAGGGTGCTGTAGCTGCTGCCTCTTGGAGCCAAGCAGTGGTCTCACAAGCAGGAGCTACTCCCCAAGGGCAAAGCCAGCTGTTTGTCTGGGCCCAGATCAAGTCTTCTGGCACCGCTGGCTGTTTGAGTTTATATCTGCCATCCCCACCCCATCCCCTGCAACACCTTCACAGCACTCTAGAATGTCAAGTCAAAGCAGCACTTTGGGGTTCCCCTTGAAGGCTGATGACCCAGGTCATTGTTTTGTCTCCCACATTTGTCTTGGTTTTCAATGCTTTGAGGAGCTACAGGAACTTGCAGCTGCCACCACACTTTCTATCCCCTGCAGAATTCTAATTTCTGCTCATGGCTGGTGGGAGACAAGGGGTGAGCACTGCAGGTTTGCAATGGGGAATGCAGACACTGTAAAAGCAGAACTACCAGTGCAATTCTACTTCTAGCTGATCACACAAGATCAATGCCTCAACAGCCCCAAAGGCCCCTCATGTCCACCCTATGAAACGAAAACAGAATTTTTCCATCGCCCTTTTGGCCATTTACATCCACTCACCTTAAACCTTTCTGGGAGGGATCTGATCAGCTTCACTTTGACTGAAAGGCCAATTAATGTTGCCATGCTGCAGTGAGGAATGGTGGGGGTGAATTCCACTGAAACGGTGCTCTCAGCATCATTTACCTGTGAAAGACCCATCCCAACACAATCACAATTTTTTAAAAGAGAGTCATAATTTAAACCAGATAAAATGCTGTTCTAATTGGAAAAAGAGCTAATTGGCTTGTCTCATTGCATCTTACTAACTCTGCATTTGTACTTTGAGAATTAGACTCCTCTCAGTCTGAAGATGATGCCCAGGAATTGACAAAGAAAACCAAGCAACCTGGGGACAAATAGAAGAGAACACCTTCACCCCCAAATTGCTCCCCTTTATCACATACATAACCCAACAAGACAACAAGAACCCATCCACAGCATACGAATCAATATGGCTAACTTGACCCTACAATCCCACCCCCTCACAAATGCAAGCAAACCTCACTGCAGCCAACTACAGACAGCCAACAACACCCTGGCCCTACCCCCACCCCTCTCACCACCAAGGAAATGTAATAAGTGAATAGAAAGAGAACATACCCAGTTGACGCTGACACGAAACCCCACACTTACACTATATAAAATAATATAGTGTCTGAGTCTGAGCCAAGGGCCACTGAGCTAACCAGGTGGTGGTGAGAAGATGGGAGGGGGCATCACCATAGGGCATGATGGTAGCAGCTTGGATAAGTCACACAGGTGGAGTTATATAAAAAGCCTCCTGGGGTGGGCAGAGAAATGGGGAATTTAAAAATCAGGCCAGGCAAAACTGGAAAGACACCTGTTCTTCCTTGAAGCTGCATCTCTCCTAAAGGATCTGTTTGTAGAATAGAATAGAATAGAATAGAATAGAATAGATTATTTATTGTCATTACACAAGTGCAACATTGCACAAAGTGCAACGAAATTGGATGCCATCCCTTAAAACAACAAAAGCAAAACAACAACAACAACCAAACAAACCACATTCCAGCCACACCCACACCAACACCCATCAAACTCCCAGGTCACACTATCGAGTTACAGCATTCAAAAAGGCTACAGCTCTTGGATAGAAACTGTTTTTCAGTCTATTTGTCTTTGACTTGATGTTTCTATATCTCCTGCCAGAAGGCAGTAGTGCAAACAGACTGTGTCCCAGGTGAGATGAATCCTGCAGGATGTTATTTGCTTTCCTAAGACAACGGGAACCGTACAGTTCTTCCAAAGATGGGAGAGGATGACCAATAATCCTTTGGGCTGTGGTTATGACCTTCTGGAGCACCTTCCTCTCCCTAGCTGTACAACTGGAGAACCAAGCACAAATACAGTATGTAAGAATGCTCTCTATGGAGCCTCGGTAGAAGGACACCAGCAGTCTCTCACTCAGATTGTTCTTCTTTAAAAGTCTGAGGAAATAAATTCTCTGCTGGGCCTTCTTCACCAGAGCAGTGGTATGTGCGCTCCAAGTCATGCCCTGATCGATAGTTACTCCCAAAAACCTGAATTCCGCCACCCTCTCCACCCGTTCCCCGTTGATATACAAGGGCTGAATGTCCGCCTTTTTTTCCCTGTAATCCACCACCAATTCCTTGGTCTTAGCCGTATTAAGAGCCAGATTGTTCTCTCCACACCAAACACAGAGCCGCTCCACCTCGTCCCGATAGGCGGACTCATCCCCTCCTGAAATGAGCCCTACCACCGTAGTGTCATCAGCAAACTTGATGATTTTGTTGCTGGAATAGATGGCTGTACAGTCATACGTATAGAGAGCATAGAGCAGGGGACTCAACACACAACCCTGTGGTGAGCCGGTGTTAAGGCTAAGGGCTGTGGACATATGTGACCCTACTCTAACCCTCTGAGAACGTTCTGACAAAAAATCCAAAACCCAGAGACAGGTGGAGTTGGAGAGTCCAATCGCCTCTAGCTTGGACACCAGTCTATGGGGGAGGATAGTGTTAAAAGCAGAGCTAAAATCCACAAACAGCAGCCTCACATAACTCCCCGGCTGCTCCAGATGGGACAGAGCAGCATGGAGAGTGGTATTGATGGCGTCTTCTGTGGATCTATTTGCTCTGTATGCAAACTGGTAGTTGTCAAAAGTTGATGGAAGACAGGAAATAATGTGACGGCGCACCAGTTTCTCAAAACACTTCATGATGATTGGAGTCAGTGCAACTGGTCTGTAGTCATTCAAACTACTGATTGTGGATTTTTTAGGCAGAGGGACAATAGTTGACGACTTCAGGCAGGGTGGGACAATAGACTGGTGTAAGGACTTATTGAAGATCTTAGTAAAGACCCTCGCCAGCTGATCCGCACAGCCCTTCAACACCTTTCCAGTGATGCCATCAGGTCCAGCCGCCTTCCTCGGATTCGCCATCCTCAATACCTGTCTCACCTCATGTACCTGGTTTTCATGAATTTAAGTGACATGGGCTACAGCCTGTTCAGCTGTCCTCTGGCTCAAAAAGAGGCCATTTTTTTCTCTCCAGCTTGGAAAAGGCAGAGAAAGGCCAACAGCACTCACCTTTACTCGAACTTGTTCTACAACATTTAGTTCTTCTAATGTTAAGGGATGCTCTGGGTCGTTGATGGAACGAATGAGATGTAGAAAGTCAAGGAAAAACACTCCACTAGCAAAGCACGGCCAGGCACAAAGCAACAGGCTGTGTGGGGATGCAATTCTTCATTTAAGATGGGAGCTTTCCAAATGTTGCCCAACGAAGACAAACTGCTCGAGCCTTCCCAACAGCAACCAATGCAGAAAACAGGTTGGCTAATACCTCTTTAGAGACGCCAACTGCACACTATTAGAAAACATATTTTTAGTCCAGGGGTGGGGACTCCATGGCCCTCCTTATGCTCTTGGATTCCCCACTCCCATCAGCCTGTCTGTTATTCTGTCCCTCACAGCTACAATAACCCTACCATTAAAATTATGAACTGGCCATTTCTTTGTCAGAGGGCAAACAGGCAAATTTAGCAGGGGATCAAATACTTTCCCCCTCACTGTATATCTACCTATTGTGGGGCTTCCACATCATGCAAGCTATCAATCCTACCCTGAAGAGCAGGAACTAGAGATGCTTGAGGAAATCAATCTGTGCTATTTCTAATACAAACCTGATACAGAGCTGCTCTGTGTCTAAAAAGTTTATTCTGTGAACCACCCTGGGACCCCGGGTATAGGGCGGTACAGTGGTACCTCTGGTTATGAACTTAACCCATTCCGGAGGTCCATTTGTAACCCGAAACTGTTCTTAACATGAAGTGCGCTTTCGCTAATGGTGCCGGCACACAACTTCCACTCGCATCTCGGGTAAAGTTCACAACCGGGAGCATCTACTTCCGGGTTAGCGGCGCTCGTAATCCAAAGCATTTGTAAGGAGGGGGGTACGTAACACGAGGTTCCACTGTATATTAATTCAATAAAAAATAATAATTTTTAAAAAGCCTGCTGAATTGGGCTAATGACCAATCTAGTCCATTCTCAATCATTTTGGTTACCTTTTTACAGACCATTTCCTGTACAATATCCTTTTGATGGTAAGGCAACCAGAATGTCACACAGCGTTCAAAGAGCAGTTGCATGGTATGATACCGGCAATTTTGTTTTCAATTCCTTTCCAAACGATCACACTCTCTTTTCATTTTAACAATCTTAAAAAATTAATGTTACCGCCAAACCTTGCCTCCTTGCTGCTAATCCATAATTCTAAATCATTTATAAACAACTTAAAAGAGCACAATCCCGACACTGATCCTTGAAGGGCTCCATTTTCAACATCTCCCCATTTGGAAAACTGTCCGTTTATTCCTACTCTTTCATTCCTGCAGCTTAAACAAGAGGACCTCTCCTACCATTCCTCGACTGCTAAGCTTACGCAGGAGTCATTGGCGAGGGGCTTCATCAAAAGCTTTTTTGAAAATCCAAGTGCTCCATGTCAGCCAGATCACCTCTATCTACATGCTTGCTGACACCCTCAAAGAAATCTAAATAGGTTCATGAGGTAGGACTTGCCTCCTCCTGACAGATTGTAACTTGCTCGGCTCGAAAAACGCATCGAGGTGCGTTAAGAAACGACTACGATGTGACTATTCAACCGACCTGCTTATTGAGTGAAGGCGTGTGAAAGTGACACGATCTGCGCACCCCAGACACAAACCCACCGCGCCTGCTGCCCCCAGAGCCCCACTCCGGGCTCCCAGGGCTAAGCCCCTCTTGCCCGGCTCCGCACCCACCTTCCCGACCCCAACCCAAGCGCCGCTGCAAGCCGGAGGCGTCACTTCCATGAGCCACTGGATAAGCCCCGGGCCCGCCCCCTCCGCCCCGGGGAGACTTTCCCCCTTGGCAGGCGAACCCCGGCTGGGCTCAGAAGAGGATATCGAAGATCTCCCGGTCGTCGATGGCGTCAGGCAGTTCGTCGTCCTCCTCGCGCGCCGTGACGGGCCGCTCGCCCTGGCGCCGGTAGATGAGCGGGTTCGCGTTTTCTAGGGCGCCGCCCGCCGGCGAGGCAGACGGATCTTGGCCCACCATGGCGGCGGCGGCGGCACTCACCCCACTAGACCGAGCGCCGTTGCCAAGCGCTTCTCCACACCGGAAGGACGCTGAGCGGAGGTGGCACCGACGTGACGCGCTTCCGGCATTTGGGTAACGCGCTCATTTGCGTCCGCTGCCATAGCGCAGTGGAGCTGAGAATGCAGAAGAGCCCATCTCGCTGCCTTAAGCGGGAGCTTCCGGGGTCGCTTTGTTTCTAATTTTGCTTCTCCCCGCGGCAGAAGTGCGAGTTGCTGGGAGGAAACGCCTGTGTGTTCGTGCACTGACAGAAAGTAGCCTCTGAGCATATACAGACTGCTCTCCCCATACCTTGGGCAACAGCCGCCTCTGCCTTCCTTGCGCGGTTTGAAGGGTTCCTGGGAGGCCACCCAGTCGCACCGGCCTGTTCAGTGCAGGATTTTGCGGCTTCAGTCTCCCTGCTAGGAAGGCCACCGAGCAGCCGAGGGTCCACTGTGAGAGTCGCAGGCTGAGGGTTACTAATGGAAAAAGTCCTCTCGGAGCCCCAAAAGTCACCGGGAAGGTGGGGGGGCTGCGCTGTGAAAGGGAAATGGGTGGAGGCCGAGGGCCGCATTTTCAGGCCGCATTTCCCACCCCGTGGAAAAAGCTACCAGCAGCAAAAAGGGGAAAAAATCTGTCGCTTCCCTCTCATGGGGCTACAATGTCCAGCGCCCTTATAGAACTACAGTTCCCAGGAGAGCGGTTCTCAACCTGTGGGTCCCCAGATGTTGTTGGACTACAACTCCCATCATCCCTGAGCTCTGGCCTTGCTAGCTAGGGGTGATGGGAGTTGTAGTTCAACAACATCTGGGGACCAACAGGTTGAGAAAGGCTGCTAGGGAAGCTGTATGCTTTGGATCAGAGGTAGGCAACCTAAGGCCCGTGGGCCGGATACGGCCCAATCGCCTTCCCAGTCTGGCCCACAGACAGTCAGGGAATCAGCATGTTTTTACATGAGGAGAATGTGTCCTTTTATTTAAAATGCATCTCTGGGTTATTTTGGGGGGCATAGGAATTTGTTCTTTTTTTTCTTTCAAAATAAAGTCTGGCCCACCACATGCTCTGAGGAGTGGTTGACCAGCCCACGGCTGAAAAAGGTTGCTGACCCATGGTTTGGATGCCCTTTAAATGCATGATGTGGATCTGCCCTCATCAGTTAACATTTTACTTGGAGGGGAGGAGAGGGAGTGAGGGAAGAGGTGTTGACTTATCCTCCTAGAAGCCTTCCTCTCACCTGTCACAGAACGCAAAGGACCACCACATGTTCCTTCCCGCTCCTTTGGCAGGAATGCCAGCCAAAGAGGGCCCGAGCGGGGCATGGGCACCCTTTCGTGCTTTAGACTTTGCCCTTTCCATTGGCGCCAGCTGGTTCGGCAGCTTTTGTGTAACCTTTCCTCACATTACAGTTAATGATTCCCTTTTGTTGAAAACTGAATCACTGGTCTGGTGTTATTATAGCTTGATGCTAGGTGAATCCGGACATTTTCCTGGCTTTTCTTTGCAAGGGATGCCGATCTTTGTACCCTGCCCTGAAAGCATATAAAGGTGCAGCGGCCCAGGGGCAGCAAAGCATGATGGCATCAGCCCCATGGAGTGCCCTGTTCTGGGTTGCTGCAATTAGCACTGTTGGCTTCAGAATCCTTGAAGGCAAAGGTAAGGGGAGTGTTTCATTTTAACTGATAAAGAGTGAAATAGCCCCTTGCAATCCACTCTTGAGGAGAGTGAAGAGGAGCATCTCCGTCTGTGTCAGTCACCTCTTTACATTTTTCCAGTTACACCATTTTTGTATTATTATTCCAGTCTGTAGAAGATAGAGTGACATTTCTCAGTACAGTGGTACCTCGGGTTAAGTACTTAATCCGTTCCAGAGGTCCGTACTTAACCTGAAACTGTTCTTAACCTGAAGCACCACTTTAGCTAATGGGGCCTCCTGCTGCTGCCACGCCACCGGAGCACGATTTCTGTTCTCATCCTGAAGCAAAGTTCTTAACCAGAGGTACTATTTCTGGGTTAGCAGAGTCTGTAACCTGAAGCGTATGTAATCTGAAGCATATGTAACCCGAGGTACCACTGTAGTAGAACACCTGTCTTGCATGCAGAAGGCCCCAGCTTCAATCCCCAGTGGCATCTCTAGGTAGGGTTAGGAAAGCCCCTGTCAGAAACTCCAGTAAGCCACTGGCAATCACAGACACTTCTGAGCAAGATAGATCAATGGTCTGACTTGATCTAAGATCATCTTCATGCATTATTCAGAAATATAACTCAGAATTCACCAGCAGCTCCCTCCCACCCTTCACCCCTCTCTTGCAAAGAGCAGCCCATCTCATTCCTGTATCTGACACTCTGCATAAGAGCACTTCAATTGCTCCAACTGCCACTCATGGGGGGGGAGGGGATGGTTGCTGGATTTAAAAAAGATTGGGGTGAGGGAGTTGTGTGTGTGTCTGAGAGAGAGAGAGAGAAGAGGGACTAGAAATTGATTCTGTGATGTGTTCTCTTACGTTTCCTCTCTTAAAAAGGTAAAGGTACCCCTGCCCGTACGGGCCAGTCTTGCCAGACTCTGGGGTTGTGCGCCCATCTCACTCAAGAGGCCGGGGGCCAGCGCTGTCCGGAGACACTTCCGGGTCACGTGGCCAGCGTGACATCGCTGCTCTGGCGAGCCAGAGCCACACACGGAAACGCTGTTTACCTTCCCGCTAGAAAGCGGTCCCTATTTATCTACTTGCACCCGGGGGTGCTTTCGAACTGCTAGGTTGGCAGGCGCTGGGACCGAGCAACGGGCGCGCACCCCGCCGCGGGGATTCGAACCGCCGACCTTTCGATCGGCAAGCCCTAGGCGCTGAGGCTTTTACCCACAGCGCCTTGGCAGTAAATCCCATTGTACAGTATCTGGAAAATGCATAGGGATGGGTTGGAGATGACAGTGGTAGGGTGAAGATTTACCAATAGGAGGTGAGGGCGGTGGAGAGGCAGGGAAAGGCAATTTGCATTGGTTGAAGACTTCCCCACCTCCCGATAGCTAAAGGCATCAAAACAAGTGATATCCCGCCACTTAACTGCATGTGCTGGCTTCAGGACCAAAGCCATTGGGGGAGGCTCTGTAGCATTTTATTTACACTATCCTCTGCACCGCATGTTCTTATAAGATTGCCAGTATTACATGTGAAAAGGATCTAGAGTTTTAGTGGACCACAAGCTTAACATCAGTCAACAGTGTGATGTAGCTGCAAAATAACCTAATGCTATTGTAGGGTGCATCAACAGGAGTATAGCGTACCAATCAAGGGAAGTAATAGTCCTGTCCTGTTCTACCTTGGTCAGACCACATCTGGAATACTGTGTCCAGTTTTTGGCACCACAATTTAAGAAGAATATTGACAAGCTGGAATAAGTGCCGAGGAAGGCAATCAAGGGTCTGGAAACCAAGCCTTATGAGGAACAGTTGAGGGAATTGGGTATTGGGTATGTTTAGCCTGGTAAGGAGGAAACAGAGAGGAGACATGATAGGCATCTTCAAATATCTAAAGGGGTGTCACATGGAGGATAGAACAAATTTGTTTTCTCCTGCTCCGGAGGCTAGGAACCAAACCAATGGCTCCAAGTTAAAAGAAATGAGATTCTGACTCAACATCAGGAAGATATTTCTCACAGTAAGCACTGTTCGACAGTGGAACAGACTCCCATGAGATGTGGTGCACTCTCATTCTTTGGAGGTTTCAAAGCACAGGATGGATGGCCATCTAGTTAATTTAGTTGAGATTCCTGCATTGCAGTGGGTTGGGCTATGACCCTCGGGTTCCCCTCCAGCTCCACAATTCCATGGTTTTTACCAGGTGACTGCAGGACTCCCTTTGGGATGATCCTCAGGGCTGTTGTCTGCAAGGTTCTTTCATAAAACGGTGTATGACTTTGGTTTCTGGTTTATCTGTTTTTAAGCTCAGCGTTAAACAGAAAAAGCTGCCGACATTTAAAATGAAATAGTATATTTTTTAAAAGCTACAACCAGAGAAAACCCACTTTAACTCAAAGCGCTGATTGCAGAGGATGGCTGCTCTCATGTCCTTTGTGTGGAGGGAGAAGGGAGGCTGCTTTTGGCTTTGCACAGATCCTTTCTAGAGGAGGGGCGTGGTCAGGCCCAATGCTCTCTGGCCCCCTGGTTTTATATAATTCTATACCTTTGCCTCTATGTTTGCGATTTCACACATTTAAAAAACTTTATTTGTATGCACGCCTTGTGTAGGTCCAGAAGGCGCCCACCCAGAAGTGGCCACAAAATATGGACGGCTTCGAGGGACGCAAGCAAGTGTAAAGGGCACAGAGCGGCTGGTCGATGTCTTCCTGGGCATCCCCTTTGCAAAGCCTCCCACAGGCTCCTTGAGATTCTCCTCACCTCAACCGCCTGAGCCATGGGATGGCGTGAGAGATGCTACCACGTACCCAGCGGTGTAAGAGAGATGCAGTTGGATCCTCTTGGCTGCACTGGGGAAATAAAAACCAGCAGAGAGGAATGTTTGAGGGGAGGTGCTGGGAACCACCAGCATATGTTCATCATCATATTTTTTTAAAGAATTCATTTATTTATTTATTTTAAGAAAAAAGTCACTGGAAACAAAACAGGTCTAATTGCTGAAATAAAATTCTGTTTTAACTTAAAACGGACACCACAGAAATTCCAGTATCTGTAACTTTAATGGGTCAGAGCAGTCCAGACGTTTCAGCAACTAGCCCTCAGCCATTGGAGGCTGAGAGCTCTTTCACTATTAATCCCGCAACATTTTAGCTGCATTCAATAAATTCATAATTAATTATTTGACCATGTTAGACAAATAATTTGCAATGATATTAATTCAATGCTAATGGGCTCTAAACTCAGGGTGGTTAATTATTTGATAGAAAGCATGGAATATTATGTTCCAATAAGCTTGTGAAGGCTAATAGTCCCATCACATTTGTAGCACATCTTTCCTAAGACATCTGTATTCCCAGCATTTAGATCTATTAACAGAGGATATCCTGTTTTCAGACTAAAACAATTTATACTGAATTCCCTGAACAGAA